TTATTATTATTATTATTATTATTGATATTTTTACAAACCTGTCAGCGGCTGTGTATCTTCTTCTTGTACAACGGTCTAAAGGAACAACAAAAAGATAAGTTATAAATAAACCTTTTTCAGGGCAAACAGTAATTTCCCTAGATAAATTCATGTCATAATTCAGAAAAATATTACTTCAGTCCATAACATATCAATGTTGCCTTCTCTCCTACCTCAACTTCAGGACCAAAGACCTCTTCTGCAGTAGGATAATACTTTTTGTCCTGTAAACATAATTGACATTCAAAGAGAAGTGACTCACACCAAACAAATACTGTATCTTATAATGAAATATTACACTTACACGAAACAAAGGGCTAGCTTACAGGTGTACATGTATGTACCTGGACATTGACAAAAAGTTCAAAGACACCTTAATTAAGTTATCTTTCATTAAATATAAAGTTATACTCATCAACAAAACACAAATAATGTAGTGGTGATGTGGCCTTGCTGTAAATAGAATGTATCATTACATTGTACCTTTCATGTAGAACTTGACAATTTCATTTTTTTCTACAATTAGCAGTAGTGTTGCAATCTGATTCACCAATTTGCCATTATAAATACAAGTGCAGATAATGCTGCTCACATGACTGTACCATGCAATTGTCTTGCCCTGAAAGGATCAATATTAGGGCAAAAAAAAAACACAAATCAACAGTGGTTCAGCATGGTTTTTCCTCTTATCAACCACAATACTCAACATCACAGTGGTCAAAATTTGTCGCAGACATACTCAGCTCTGTATCACGAGTCCACAACATTTTAACCACTGTGATGTCAAATACTGTTGTCAATAAGAGTACCGACCACAATAAACCACTGTTGATTTGCTAAAAAGCATTGTACCTCATGCAAAACCACTTGCATTTGGGGCTCTTCATCTTGATCCATCTGTTCATCACCATCATCTTCTGCCTGAAATACATGAAATCAAAATATTTTGTCTGACAATCAGTGCTATTCATCCCTTAGATAAAATAAATCATACAACATCAATCACTGCAATACTTGTACAAGATTTAAACAACTGTTTCCTCTGATCACCATTCATTCTGATTTTAGATATTCATTTCCTATGAACTTAGGTTTTGAGAATACTGAATTATTCACACATTTGGATTGGTTCTTAGTTATCCTCCACAGGAAGACGGATGCCCAGATCACATCTGCATTTACAAATTTTTACATTGTCATTACATATAATAAAAAGATTTCATGTTGGCATGGGTCTGTTCAGTAGTAGATAACATCAGGCATGAAATTTGGGTAAGAACATCAATGACACACTTGGCTGCACCTCGCATGTCTCTTATTTATTTATTTTTTTACTACATTTTCACGTCATCTATGACCAACAGAGGTGTATTACAGAACACAACCATGGCAACATGGAATCTATCTGTTAAATAGACAAAGTTTCATACATTACACAACGCCGGTAGAGTTTACAGGGTTTGTATTAATTTTCATGAAAGCCACAGTACATTTCCTCATGAATGCGAGGATTTCAATATTTCAATAACTTTTTCCATAAGCGACTGCCGATGGTGAAATAAACAGCTGTGCAATGAGGCGATACCCAACCAAGAGAGCCTCATTACAGGCTAAAAAGACAAGAGTGAAAGGTCGTACAGGCGGCGATCTACCGGCCTTTACTGACCGTAAAACGTAACCCCTGTCAGAGCAGTATGCAGCCCGATTCGCTAATACTGTCTAAAGACGTACCATTTCCACAACAAGAAGTAAGATGCTAACACTACATTGGTATGTACAAGCTCTCACTGCGTAGCTTCATCACAAAGACAAATGCTCCTTCACACGCTCTTTCAATCGCTAACGTTCAATAAACGTTTCAAGGAAGCATGGCAAGCGATGAACAAACAGTCATCAAGGCTACATTTCTTTTGCGTTGGAGTCAATCAAGACTTGATCACTTACATATTCTACTGCCTCTTCTTCGTCTGCGTCCTCTTCTTCCTCGCTTTCCTCGTCACTGTCGAGTTCTGGACCAATGTAATTTCCGAATTCATCATACAGATCGGCCTCCATTTTGGAAAACGTGCAGCTAACGTTCGGAGGAAGACTGAAACGAGAATTGGAAATAGAGCAAATACAGCAAAATCTCTAGTCAGCGGCATTCCCCATTAGAGGTATTTTGCAATATGGCGGACCATCTTAGGGAACACGTGTGTCTAAAGTATTCACTTGTTTTTTTATTTAAAACAGCCTGATCATTACACAAAGTTAAAGCTATGGGTCGTATGAGGCAGAGACATAACTGGAAGGCAAGATTACAGCCAGAGGCTTCGAAGAAGGACAAGAATTCAACGCCTACTGATAACCAGAAAGGTGTTTTGGAAACGACAACGAAAAATGAAGACTACAAATATTCCCACAACGACACCAACATTCTCGTCGCCCCAAGTAGGAAAGATAAGGTAAAAGTTGCCATCAAGGACACAAGTGATAAACGAAAGAAGCTAACAAAGAAACAACGAAAACGACTTGAAAAAATTGTCGAGACGAAGAAAAAGAAAGCAAGGCGAGCAGACTTGCTGAAAGCGCTCTCCGAGCATGCTGTCAGCGATAAAGAGCTGTCTCAAATGAGTTCTACGACTAATCTAGGTCAGTCTAACACAACAAGGAAAAGAACGATTTCGGAAGTTGAAGAAAGTACAGCAAGAAAAGCGCTCATCTCCAGTATTCGCCGTGGTCGTAAAAAGGGCAAAAGACTGCGATTGGAGAGAAAAGTCCTCGATCCTGTTCCTGCTAAGATCGCAAAGACGTTAGAGAAAGAAACAGAAGCTGAAGAGTCATCAGAAAGCGAAGAAGAGGATAGAAGCAACTCAGAATTATCACAGGAGGAAAATCTGCCCGTGGAAAGTTCACCGTTAAGTGAACAGACCGCTGACACGGAGAATAAAGACGAACACAAAAGTGACGCCGATCAGGATTCAAAACCTGAACCAAAAGAGGACGCAGGGGAAAACTCTGCAAAATCAATAGTTAAAACGATCTCAGAGAAGGTGGAGACCGTGAAAAAAGAATCGAAGCCGGCAGTTTTTATGGAGGTGAAGAGGAACCCAGAAATTCAAGCTGCAAGGCTTCAGCTTCCGATCCTCGCCGAAGAGCAAGCTGTCATGGAAGCGATTCATGATAATGATGTAGTAATTCTTTGTGGTGAAACCGGAAGTGGGAAGACCACTCAAGTCCCTCAGTTCTTATACGAAGGTGGTTACACAACACAAGGACTGATTGGCGTGACAGAACCACGCCGGGTAGCTGCTGTGACTATGTCACGCCGGGTCGCTCTGGAGCTGAATATGAGTACAGAACTGGTGTCCTACCAGATTCGTTATGAAGGTAACGTGACTGAAAATACGATCATGAAGTTTATGACAGATGGTGTGCTGCTCAAGGAAATTGAAAATGACTTCCTCTTGTCAAAATATTCCGTCATTGTGATTGACGAAGCTCATGAGCGAAGTGTTTTCACGGATATCCTCATGGGACTACTTTCAAGAATAGTTCCAATGCGTAAAACTCAAGGTAAACAGCTTAAACTTATTATTATGTCCGCTACACTTCGTGTGGAAGATTTTACGAGTAATACGCGTCTTTTCCCTACCCCACCCCTGGTGGTGACCGTGGAGTCCAGACAGTTTCCTGTAACTGTACACTTTAATAAGAGGACGCCGGATGACTACCTAAATGAGTCATTCCGTAAAGTTTGCAAAATCCACCGCACCCTACCCCCGGGAGGGATCTTAGTGTTTGTGACAGGTCAGGCCGAAGTGCACGGATTATGCAGAAAGCTGAAGAGGATATTTCCTTGCAACCTTTGTAAGGAAAATTCCAAACAGAAGGTGTGCACAAGCGATGAAAACTCATCTCATGATGAAGATAACTTTAATCTTGATAATTATCCCGTAAACCCGGCTGTGGAAGAGAGAGACGCTGAAGACGAAGATCTTGGTGAAGACATCTACAACGAAGACGACGGAGATAGCGAGTTTAATCTCGACGACAGTGCTTTTACGTCGTTGATAGACAAAAATCTTCCCATGTCTGTTCTGCCTCTGTATTCGCTTCTCTCAAGCCAACAGCAAGCCAAAGTATTTCAGCCACCCCCAGAAGGGACTCGCCTTTGCGTCGTAGCGACCAATGTGGCGGAAACGTCTTTGACAATTCCCAACATCAAGTACGTAGTGGATACGGGTATGGTAAAGAGGCGCTATTACGATAAAGTCACTGGAGTATCTTCATTTAAAATCACGTGGACATCCAGAGCCTCAGCTAATCAGAGAGCAGGCAGAGCTGGTAGAGTGGAACCTGGACACTGCTACCGGTTATATTCTTCGGCTGTGTTTACCAACGAGTTTGAAGAGTTCTCGGCACCTGAAATTTCACGTCGTCCAGTGGAAGACCTCGTGTTACAGATGAAGGACTTGAATATTGACAAAGTAGTTAACTTCCCCTTTCCAACTCCGCCTGACTTAACAGCGTTGCAAAGCGCCGAGAGATTGTTGTTAAATCTAGGCGCGTTAGAGGAGAAGAAAACGATGAAGGGAAATGTGTATGCAGCGATCACTCCTCTTGGACGCGCCATGGCTAAGTTTCCTGTGTCGCCGAGATACGCAAAGATGCTCTGCCTGGGGCATCAGGAAAATTGAATGGAATACGTCATCGCTATTGTATCCGCTCTCACGGTGAAAGAAATCTTTGCGGATGACAATGACAGAGAAACGAGCCAAGTAACCAAGGAAGATCGGCGAAAAATATCTCGCTTGCGGCGGACTTGGGCGGGCCAAGGTGACGCCCAGAAGCTTGGAGACGCAATGGTTCTTCTAAGAGCTGTTGGGGCTTGTGAATATGCCGGCTGCACAGCAAAGTTCTGCTCTGAGAATGGACTTCGTCACAAAGGAATGATCGAGATCAGAAAGCTCCGTGCCCAGCTTACAAACTCGGTAAATCTTGTCAATGCTGATGCAAAAGTGATGCTTAACCCTCGAATGAACCCACCATCTCCTGCTCAGTGCATGGCCCTACGGCAGATATGCCTATCGGGCCTTTGCGGCCATGTAGCGCGAAAAAGCCACGCAGGAAATGACCCCCAGCGGAAGAATGCCTACAGCAGCATGTCCCTGGATGAGCCTGTTTTCATTCACCCATCCTCTGCGCTCTTTGAAGTGTTACCGGAATACGTGATTTATCAAGAAATCGTGGAGACTTCAAAACTTTATATGAAAGGTTAGTCTGCAGTAGTTTAAAAATGTAGTTAAAAAAAAAAAAAACTTCTTCAATGATATCCATTGCAATAAAATTGAGAACGGGCCCTATTTTACCACGAAGTCTGTCGCGCGAGTCAATAGACTAAACATAATAACATATCCCAGCGCCTCGTTACCGTGCGGCGGGATATTCTTTCCGCCGATTTCAATAAGCTCGCAGGACCGATTATGCTGAGAAAGGACCTTCAAGACCTTTTTACCCTCTGAATTGAGTGCAAGCATTAAAAAAGCATTTTAAGAATCACTGCATGATAGATCCACTGCGCAATGCTGCAAGCTAAGCTCCATCAAGTCAATTTAGACGCCTTTCCATTTCTTTCCATGTTAGGTGTCATTGCTGTTGAGTGCGATTGGATCCCAATTCTGGTCCCTAGTTTGTGTATATTCTCCAAACCCCTTGAAGAGTATCCTCCTCGTTATGACTCCGAGGCGGGCGTCGTCAAGTGCCACATGAAGTGTACATTTGGAACCAGATCCTGGCAGGTGCCCCCTCAGGAGCTTGAATACCCCGCGGGACTCGATAGATACAAGTGGTTTGCAAAGTTCTTGCTTGAGGGAAAAGTAATCCCAGCATTTACGAAGTTTGTACCATTCCTGTTGTGCCCACCGGTTACAATGATTAAATCCTGGGCAAAGCTACAGCCGAGGACCGAAATCTTACTCAGTGAACTTGTAAGTGGGAAGGCCGATACCAAGATGGCCCTAATGGCCGCTTTGAAAAAAGATCCAAAGTTTTTATTGGCTGCCTTGAAACAGTGGATTCCTCAGAGTAAACATGGCGAACTGACTTTATCATGGCCGTCTAAAGAATAACACTTCTCTTGTGCTTAGCAGCAACTGTCTTCATTTGAAATTTAGTGCTTTCCAATTGCGTGATTTTTGTTAAATGTGTTGTTAATATAAGGTTCGTTTAGAACCGCGGTAAGAAGCAACTCAGAGCAAGGGACGTCAATGTAAATCGTTCCTGTACAAAGATGCTTTGCTATTGTTAGTTGAACTTTCATAACCATACTGCAATGTAGAAAAATTGTCGTATTTATTTACATTTTCGGTCGCCTGACTCAAAAAAATTAATTTACAGTGACTTCTCTAACAAGCAAAGATCTCAATTTGGGCCCTTTCAAATTTACCTGTAATTACAATAGCTTTAACTATATAAATAATAAATTAACCGGACTCTTCAAATGATATCGTACAAAAAAAACTCGTTTTCTAAATTAGGACTTGCCCTATATTGTTTACGCTAAAATCGTTGGATACCACGCTCGACTGGGTTCGCCAGTTTCCACCAATTTCAGTTAGTGTTACTGCTGGATGGAATCTCTGGTAGGTACTTCCCAACAACCTAGCAGGTTTTCCTGACAGTTTGGCTGATAGCCATTTATTTGTCTAGCTTGAAAGAGGCACTATCAGGGAAGAGTGTATCGAATTGCCAAAGGACACAGCATATCCCAAAAGTATGGCATCCGGTATTTCAGTACAAACAATAAATAGACTGGTCATATTTCAAGTCGTTACGGGCTGTTTACAGTTCACACTGTGTGTTTCTCTAGTGTTACTAGCAGTTGACAAGGTAAACTAAAAAAACGCTGGGCAGTGTGAGCTATAAATTTTAGCAATTTTTCTGTCCAAGCTTGTTCGCTGCATTGCTTTGAACTGAAGGAGCTTCTTTAAATAGTTACAACTTATAAATAAATTGTTAAACACATAGCTGGATTTATTTTACAACGAATAAAAGGTGAAATTTTCTAAAGAAACTTGGTGCTGCGTCGGTGGCGGTAACAAGGCAATTGGTTATATCAGCTAAGTTGAAATTGTAAATTGGCCACCGTAACGAGTTAAAAAGCTGACGTTTCGAGCCTTAGCCCGTCTGACGAAGGGCTGACGCTCGAAATGTCAGCTTTTTAACTCTTTACGGTGGCCAATTTACAATTTCAACTTAGTTGATATAACCAATTACCTTATTTTACAACGATAGCGCAAAACGCCAACTGGTTTCTTAATCTTTTTACCCCAAACAATTGTCTAGCACCTAATTTATCCTAACACTATCATCACTAACTCAAACGTAGAGGTCAGGAGAATATAGTAAATGATCACAAACTCACAACAACTTTCGATTACTAACTGAACAAATTCTCCTTGTCAGAACCAGAGGAAATGTAAAGGGAACAGTATGGAGAATATGCATACTGATGTCAGGGTGGAAAGGACTAAAAAGGGTATGAACAAGGATGCTCAGCCAGGAGGTCAAGGTAATCCAGTTTGAATAATGAAAACACTTCTCCCTTCCATTTATTTGAAAAAAAGCCACTTCGTTTCACTTCACTGAGCCATAGGAAAGATATGACATAAAATCCTCTTCAGCCAACTTAGCAAGCTATTTGGTCGTTTGAAATGGCTTATTGCCTAAGTTTATATCATTTCTCTGAAAATTGAGGAACAAACTTCTGGGAAAGCATCCTTGTATGTCTTGTACAGATAGTCTGATTGTTCCGTGAATTAAAGTAAACCCAGGGATTGAAACAAGTACCCTTTTACATGGTACCTGTTTCTATCTTCCATATGCGCCGATCAGGCCCCTCCCCTCTCCCCACCTTTCTGCATCGTTTTTTATTTTCGTGTCCTCTGAGCAGCTGAGGCCTTTTTGAGAGGGGTCGCCTTCGTCGTTGAAATCTTGATTGATTGATTCTTGAAATTATACTTTCTTCATAGGAAGGAGCTCCTCAGGTGTTAATTCTAGTGATTTACTTTTCCGTTTGAAAAAACCAAGCTGTAAATAAGTAAATGAAGAAGATGTTAAACATATATAACGAGAATCGGACAATGAAAAAGTCTGAATTTCCCACGAGGATTTGAATCCCAAATCTTCGGATTTCGCGGTCCGATGCTCCTGGAGGTAATTCGGCATGTAAAAAAAAAAAAATTATGAACTTGACCTTAAAAGACGACGTTAAAGTTTGCAGGTATAGCCAATTTTTTAGTGCCAATCGTTCCTTCTTGGATCATTTTCAACAAGTAACTTTTTGGGTTTGCTTTCCGAAAAAGTTTCAGTTTTGAGCTTCTATTCCGAACAATAATTTTCCGGCAGGGCAAAAAAATTGATACTCTACTTAGTGATAACGATCCTTGAACATCAGATGTTATTTTTTTGGGAATGTTATACTTGATGTACAATTTTAGGGTATTTGTACGATGAAATCAAGCTTCTCTTGAAAATTTGTCGTTCTGATTTGCGATTCCTGGCCTCTGTTTTGGTGACATATAATTAACAACATACAAACCTTATATAGGATAAAAAATGCGACTCCGAGCAAAATGACAGCACCCAGAGCAGAGACCAAGTATACCCACCAAGGGGTGGATTTTTTACTGGCAACAGCGCGTTCAGGCTTGGCTGTGAGAATGATCTGCAACGAAAATGTCTCCTTTCAATGAAAATTGAAAACCTCAGGACCGTCACTAAAGCAAGTACAGAAACTGACCGGACGGTACAGGAAAACCGCTCCATTAGCTAGCTTGTAAAAACTCAAAGCAAATAGACGCATATAGCCAGCAGAAGACGTGGGAGATTGTTTTCGCTCAGAGAATCACGATTGAATTTGTGTTCCCAATATAATGGTGATTACACTAGAAATTTATTATAAAGAAAAACACTCGTCAAAACAAGTTATTGCATGGTCCAAAAAACCCGAGCTCACAGTTTCCGCGTAGAGCTTTAGCTTAAGGTTTACCCATTAAAAGATGGTTATATAAATTTGTCACGATCAATCAACTTGTTCGTAAAAAACAAAACAAAACAAAACAAACGTAGTTACATTCCATACCAAATGAACAACGCCCTAGTGTCGTCAAATATGTTCAAAAACAGACTCAGAAAGGGACAATCTAGCTACACACCGTTACAGCATCATTCTTTTCGTCCGGCTGAGTGACTTTAGCTGGAGGCTGTACTTGTGCAATCGTTTCAACCTCCACTACTGCTAGTTTATTGAGCTGTAAGGTAACATAAAGTATATCGACAGATGAGGAGGAAGGTGAGTTGTGAGGTAACAAAGCTCTTTTCCTGGGAGAGTAGGGTGTAGAAAGAGGTGGTTTATAGAAGGAAAGATTCTCCGTGATTTTCATCTAATATTTCAACGTCAAGTGCCACAGCTCACATCGCTACGGTTGCTTTAACGTTGGAGGGGGTATTTTTATTTGACGTGCTAAAAGTGATATTTAAAATAAGCGTGGATGACTCGTGTTCGTATATTTGACAAAAAAAAAGAGAAATCAAAGTAGGGGATCGTTTTCTACAGGGCATTATTGAAAAGCGAGGGTTACTCATACGAAAACTTTGCCCAACGAATCTTATCCACAGTACAGATCACGAAAGATTAAGAATACCTTTAGGAGTGTATTCTGCCACAGTCGAGATGTCAGTTTGATCTCTACTTTATCGCCCTGTCTCAGACGTCCCAAACTGCACTGGAACGATTGGCAACCGACTTCTCCACAGCTCTACAAAGAAATAGGTGGTTAGAGATTGAGTATAATTTACAATTTGTCGGCCTATAGAGGTTTAGCCCCATTGCAGGGTCACCCCCTACCAGGTGGCCCTAAGACAAGATGCTCGCCCAATCGAATATGACAAGTTCGCCCCCACCTTTACCAGTTCACACTCCCCCCTCCCTAAATCTTTCAACTTGATACCCGAGAGTGTTTCTCCTAACAAATTCGCCCTTTCCAAGGCTCAACCCCAGACTTCTGCGATCCGATGTCTAGGCGTGCTTACCATTAGGTTATCACCTCTCCAGTGCAAAAAAAAGCTGGCCAGGCGCGCTGAGTAAATGTTCATAAGAGTGACCTTTTCGACGTGAGTTGTGAAACTACATGCACCACATTTTTCGCACAGTGTAACAAGGCATCTGCTATGTTTATAGCTGGAATTTTTTTAAGCTTAGTTGCTTAAAGGGGAACTGAAGCCTAAAAATGAACCATTTTTAAATTGCAGCTTATAGTTCAAATAGCAATGTTCGAGGGGTTCTTTTCAGTCTTTGTGCCCAACTTCGCCTCGTAAAAATAGTTTAAAGTGGTATTTCGGCCTCGTAGTACGGTGGCTCAGAAAAGCGATGTCAGCGGTCATTTTAGCTCGCTCTTACGTCATTGGTGGGGAAGAAAGATAATAAACCCGTAATCTTCCTACAGAAATTTGGTTTGGTTGTGGAGTTATCGAAGTTGCGTGACTTGTAATGGGGATTAACTACGAAAATGAAATAGTAGCAGTTGTTTTTCTTAAGTTGGTTCTCCACCGCTGACGTCATAAACGACCGCTGCTGACCTATTTTGAGCCGACGGTCTTACAGCCCCAAAAGCGGGAAAAAGGCAACTTCAAATCGAATTTTCTCGTAAAAAACAAGAAGTGAAGGAAAATGAATATCGACACTTATCTTACTCCTCTACAGCTCGCTAGAAATGAATGTAAACAATATAGCAATTTTAGGCTTCAGTTCCCCTTTAAACCAGATTATCCAGTAATATCCCCCACCGACGCAGTATCACAAATTGCTTAAGAACCTACCCCTTTATTAGATAACGGTCAAAATTGTGTTTTGAGTCAACTCGCTGTACATAAAGGAGATCTTTTGAAGGCGCCTATAACCGTCGCGAACTTGAAATCATACACACGCATGCGTATTTGATACACTTACCAGTCTCTTAACGTCACGTGTCTGCCTCTGTTTTACGGAATTCTCGATGCTGGTGGATTCGTTTAACTGTACTGACTATAAAAACATATACAAGGGAAATAAAAATTGAGAAGCTTGATAAGTGCATTACAGTTAGCTGTAATATTCATTTACATATTAATTATATTATATGAAAAAGTATTAATTTACTACTATTGTTATTAAATTATCGATAAATCATGCTATGGATCATGTATGAAATTTTGATTACCGGCGACGCTTTCATCAGTTATTAGATAACAGCGTTCTCTCCCAGCCCCCAGGGCGAGGGGGTTTGTATATCATAAGGTAAACACTTTACCTTAATGTTCAAAGGATTCACAACAGCGCTGCAGCTTCCTGAGCCAATGACCTAAAAAAAAGCAGTACTTCCTTCAATTAATTAAAAGAAGATCTTGTATGTTCGATCAGGTTAATTAACTAACAGTCGCTTTTTATTTCGTTTACCCTTGTAAAGACCGGACAAGAGAATAATTATTACAGAATTTTTAGGCTCACCTCAACTTGAAGAAGATACAAGAGAAAACTTTCAGGATCTTCCTTATTCAACAGTTTAGGTACAGTGATCGTCAACTGAGACCAGTCTACCACGCTGGGACCACGATTGCTAACCTTATGTCAAGAAAAGTGCTCTATGTTAGCCGAGACTATAAGGAAATAAATAAATTGACACAATAACATCAGTTTGTAACCTGTAGCAAGCTTTTGAAAAGGTCCAGTCTGTGGAAAGCTCACTTCAAGTGAGATCTTTCCTGGGCAACAACTTGACTTACTCATACCGCCATTTTCTTTTATTTTTGCAAAATTTCACCTGAACACAAAGTGATTAACTGCTATAAACAGACCTTGATGGTTTGAACAATCTCGGGTCCAATCTCCTCTTGAAACTCTCTGACTTTCTCCTGCGTTTTCACGGATCCTGAGTAGATGACTTGGTCTGGTTTTGAATAACTGAGAAGAAACAGACTCAGTTTAGTACTATACTTCTTGTTTGTAACCAAGCTTCGCGCATGCGTGAAATATTGCGACTAACTGAGCATGCGTAACAAACGATGTGTTTAATACAGTAGGGTGGATTATTGTGCAAACACCCGTAATCAACATGACTTACGCACAGATTTCATTAAGAACATCTTTACCAAAGTTTTCAGTTTCTGAAAAACTTGAGCCCAAAGCAAGGGAAATTCCGTCTCTTAGCTTCTTTTTCCTCTGCTAAATAAGCTTACCCTTTAATCTCCAGATCTGCTTCATACTTCACAGCCATAAAGAATTCCTTGCTGTTGTCTTCTTCATTGACATCTAAGTCTTGGCTGTAAGAATATCAAAAGCTTTGTCATACAACATCCAGCTCCACGATATCCTATTCTGTACGTACAGTGTTTTCGAGTTAGTGCCGTAAAATCGAATTAAAGTACTTAATTACAAAAGCTAATCAGGGAGACGAAAAACATCAAAGGAGTCAAAAAGAGGCTTACAGCCAGAAGGGCGGGAAAACGCAACTTAAAATTGTAGCAAGAAGTTTTATTCTGATGATAACAACCGACAATTTTATCGCTCGTTTTAAGAACAAATTCCTCACTATTTTTATAAAACCGAAACAAAACTTAAACCAAAATTTCACCAACAAAAGAAACTGTTTTTGCAGGGAAAAAGATCTTTTTATCCTGGTCTAAAAGAGGATAAGTTGTAAACGTGACTGCCACTGATACACGAGAAGTTATGACCATTAGTTTGTGATAACCACAAAGGAAAACCAATGCAAGCTAACCTACCTTTCAGCTGTGACAGTAATAGAGATATCTTCCTCTACTGAAGCCACTGAAAATATGAGACTAAAATTTTTCTAGAGTGAAAATAATAAAGACGTAAAGGTTAGTTTGGCTGTTATAAGAAGAAGTGCTATCTGCGTTCGGTATCTTCTCACGAGAAACACGTGGGTGATTCTTAATGCTGTTATCCCTCTCGAAACTTTTCGGTTACGAGCGATAGAGCAAGTGAGACGCAGTGGGTTTATGGTTAGTGCCCTGGATATGGAGACCTCGTCACTGTTTTGTGCTCTCGGATAAAACGCTTTACTCTCACGGTGTCAGAGAAAATTGTCAGGGGAAGCTTGATTAAATGCTGGGAAAGGGGGGATAACCCTGCAATAGACTAGCATCCCATCCAGGGTGGAGAAGTTATGCTCCTACTCGCTTCATGTTGTGGAAACTGGGATACGTTCCGACTACATGGGCCACCTGGCTTAATTAAGTACAGACTTTTTACTTATTTAAAGAGAGCGACAACGTTACAGATCACAAGCCACTTACATTACTTTGTCCTGGAAGAGCCACCTTTTCTACGTCACAGATGATGGAGAGCTGGGACTGAGTGTCATTGTCTGAGCTGCGTTCGTGTTCGCACTGAGATTAAAACGTTGAATTGGGAAAGAAAAGACCAAAAATAATCAGAATATAAGATCTAAAAAAGGGAGTCGATGAGAAATCAAATTAAACAAGAAAGGCGTCCGTCTTGCCTCTTATCGGTCGAGGGTGTTTCAAGTTTTCGACCAGTAACTGAGCGGAACAAAGTAAGACCTTTGAAGTCCCTAATTACTCTAGTCACCTCATTGGATGTCGCCTCACTGGATGTCACCTCATTGGATGTCACCTCATTGGATTTCACCTCATTGGAGGTCACCTCTGGATGTCACCTCATTGGATGTCACCTCAAGGTGACTCCCGCTGGGTTGTCCAAACGTCAGCCACCACCACCACGACCGACAACGGTCTTTCTCGGGACTACACCCGCCCGGACTATCAGACTACACTATCACATACTACCCTTGGGTTCAAACCATTTACTGTATCATTGAAAAATTTCTAAAAATATACACGTTTTTACTTACGTCGCCAGTTCTTTGATAACTCAGTGAGCTTGGGTATTTCACTACGAGTTTGGAGTAATAAGCGTAATCAATGGCCTTGTTTGATACTGTCAGTTGAAGAATCAGGTCTTTCACGAGACCTAATTTTAACTGACTGTCAAATCTAGGATTTTCGTCGTACCTGTCAAAGGCAAACATAGAGGGCGATTGAAACTTATAAATGAATAAAGGCTGATAGTTTCTAAAGAAACTGTTCGGGGCTGCGTCGGAGGGGGTAACGAAATAATTTGGATGTATCAACAAAGTTGAAATGGTAAATTGGCCACTGAAACGATTACAAAAGCTGACGTTTCGAGCGTTAGCCCTTCGTCGGAGCGAAGGGCTAACGCTCGAAACGTCAGCTTTTGTAATCGTTACGGTGGCCAATTTACCATTTCAACTTTGTTGATATATCCAAATTATTTTGAAACTAAAAAAGTTCCCTTCAAAAGGGTTTCAAAAATCAAAACGAAAGTTGATAATCACCACGGAAACCGTCGTCTAATTGGTTAAAGGCGTGGGGCAATCCCAAATTATTTCGACTTATGATAGTTGTGTTGCATTCGTGGAATCCAACGACAAAGCTAAGAGTGAATTGAGCGAATTCACCATGTCTTTCTTATTTCCTTCTTACCCCACTAAAAGCACTTTTCCCTCCACTGCTAGGTCAGGTACACAGACCTTTTGATTCTTGCACCTCTTCATAAAAAATGCCTGTGGCAATAAAAAAAAATTAAATATTAGGAAGATGATGACAGCTCCTAGTGAGATACCAGGCAAAAAAAAAAGGATAATAAATAGAAAATTGAAAGGAATGCAAACTGAAAATTAGGAAAAAAGTTCAGGAAACTCAAGACGTTTGTATTGATAGTTTTCTCTCCCTTAGTTGCCGAATATAACAATATCTTCTTTCTGTCAGGCACATGCATAGTTGACATGTAAGTACAAATCTATCTGGTAGCAAAAAGAAAACCTTACTGGCATCAAAATTATTATGGCTTTTGCGAGTCTCTCCTCACTAACATCGGCGACAGTTCCTTTCGTAACTGGCGGTTTTAGGAGTCAGCAGAGGCAAAGTGCGAAAACAATTACCATTTAAACAGGCTACTTGACTAAGGTCCTTACCTTCGCCCTGTGAGTTGTTAAAAGAGAATCGTTGAACACCGGACAAAGAGTATTGCCACAAGACTCAACCAACCCAAAATCAAGATCAAATGTTAGTGAAGAAGCAACATCTGCAAGGCTGTCTTTTTCCTGAACAAAAACCCAAACAATTTCTGTGAGTCTGTGCACTGTTCCAAAACACACGACACTTTAATGTATAGGGTTATTAATACTCAAGAAGATCTGTCCTCTTTTCAAAGTGACATAGATAAAATATCAGATTGGTGTGAGATGAAGAGGATGACAATTAATACTATAAGAAATGTAAGATCATGCGAATTGACCACTTTCAAAAATGGCTGCCAGATTAATATTCTTTTGTTTCAATTTAAATTAGCCTTTCTGGCCTCGCTTGAGATGATGTATTCTTTTGAATTTTGTACTGGAAAACGAGGCCAGAAAGGCTAATTCAAATTTAAACAAAAGAATATTAATCTGGCAGCCATTTATGAAAGTTGTCAATAACCAGGAAAAAGGCACCCTTAGTTGGGGAGTAGAACATTGAGGGTCAACCTTTGGAATGTGTTAATGTTTATAAAGATTTAGGATTGTTTACTGCTGGTGGTCTTCCCATGGAACCAGCATATAGATAGAATAACTGCTAAGGCCAATAGGGTTTTAGGGTTGGTAAAAAGGACTTGTAGGGACTTAAATGATGTTGAAACCATGAGAACACTTTACTGTAGTCTTGTGAGACCCTTATTGGAATATTCATTCAAACTTGGAACCCTTATACTAGACGTAACATTGACTGAATTGGAGGCTGTTCAGCGAAGAGCTACCAGATGGATCACTAGGTCTGATGATGATTATGGTACTAGACTATCTAAATCGAAATTGTTGCTATTATCTGATAGGAGGTTCATTAGGGATGTTACGTTTTTGTTTAATGTAATTAATGGCTATTATGACATAGACATTTCCAATAAGCTCATATTTTGTAAGGACAGAAGCATGGCTTATAATTTGAGGAAAAATGACACACAGGACCTTGTCCCAAATTTTAGCAGAATGGTCTCAAATATAGTTTTTTTAACCGTATCGTTGGTGAATGGAATAGCTTACCTAATCACATTAGAGAATCAGATGGTATTGAAACTTTTAAAAAGAATGTTTTAACTTTTATTAAGGATAAGGATAATTAGGGCATCTATTTTTATATTTCTATATAGTTTTGCTATATGAAATTTTTTTAATTAGCGGGGGCATCCCTTGTATGGTGCGTCAGCGCTTTTGGTTGTCTCCTCCACAATTTTTCCTTTTATGGTTTTTATTAACCTTAATTGTAATTAATATTAATTGTTTGTGTATTCTTGTGGAGTGAATTTGTAATAAATAAATAATGCACCCTACATGACATACCTTTAGGTAAACAGTCCTCGGTGGGGTGCATTGACGCTCTCCTTGTTTGGTTAGATTTTGAACGCCTTTTATTGTGTGTACTTTGTTTCCACTGACCTCCTCCAGGAAGAAAATGCGGCGAAAAAAGTTCGTCCCTCTGACAACTTTAACGCGGTCTAGATCAACTGAATAGGTTATTCCCAGTCCTACAAGAGAAAATAGTGGTGGACACGAGGTGTTACCGAGAAGATACCAAATTCGATCAGACATTGTAATATCGTAGTCGATGGTAACTGAACCAGTTGACAGAACTGACTTTAGAAGAGCCTGTTACAGACGTTTAGTTTGTAAAACAGAGCGAAATAGAAAACGGCGAGAAAGAAGAAATGGAGTGAGAAAGCCGAGAGGGGTTTGGGTCGAGTCTCGTACTCACCCAAGCCTCCCTTGTTTTTTCATTCCTCCGCTCCTATCATTTCGTTTACCATCGCACTTTGTTTAGTTATCTGAACGACAGGAACAGGCTAGCTTTAGAAGTATCTCCGTTTCATCACCGACTGAACAACCTCATAATATGTTAACTGAAGCCATATCATATCTCCACGATCTGTAGACCACGACTTTCCTAAATTTTGTCCAAAAACTAGCCCTGGAAAAAGTGTTACCTGAAAAGTTTGCTGCTCCTTTATCCTTGTTTGTGAAACACAAAGAAAGGTTCAAACTAAAAATGAAGAAATGAATCGATTAAGTGCTCTTGAAGAAATAAGTTTAACAAGAAGGGAGTTTAGTTCTCTCAGATCAGTCATAACTTCACCTTAACTAAGTTGGGTTGAAGAACAGTTTCTGCCGACATCACATTATGGTAACAATTATTGGGTAGCCTATTCCAGTAAATGGAATATGCTTACTAATTGTCCCTTATTTAACTTATGGTATTTGTGCTTGGGGAAAATGTGCCATGACATTTCAAAAAAAGATCCTAATTCTACAAAAACGTTACGGGCCTTACGTCTTAATTACTTCAGTAAGTCTAAGCAGCACACCGTACCATTCTTTCTCAAATCGAATTGTCTTCCCCTACCTAGCCTATTTTTCAGAGATTGTAGCTATTTATTGTATGCTATCAACAGTCAGTCAGCACCAGTTAGTATACTCAATCAGTTCATTAGAACAAGTCAGATTCATAACTACAGAACAAGATCTGTCTCTAGTGACTCGTATTTTGTTAAATTCTCTAGAAACGATAAAATGTATGCTTCTTTCTCAAGAATTGATGCCCAAATTTGGAACTCCGGCTATTCCCTATTCGATTAAACAACTTAAACGTTCGTCTTTTCGTAAAAAGATAAAGGAGTTACTGCTAAATTTTTTACGATTAGAAGATGATTATGTGGAAGTCTCCCGTCTTATTAAGTTATTTGATACTTTAGGTTAGCCTCTTTTCGTAATCTTAATCTACTTACTCTGTTTTATGCTTATTCTACTTACTGCATAGTAGTGTTTTTATTTATTTAGTTAGTCCATCTATAGATAAATCCTATACTTGTAAATTGTCCTTAGATCTCCCCGCCTCGATTAGTTCATAAGCTATTTACGGGGAGAAACCAATGTACTTAACCATATTTTTAATCTTAAAATAAATTGTTGTTGTTGTTGTTGTTGTTGTTGTAATGGGAAAATGGGATGTACAGTAGCGTGGAGCGGGAAAGTGACGGAGGGGGGTTGGGAGAGAGCGGCAGTAAGACCTGGAGAATTGACAAGAGCGCTTGTCAGTCGTCACATCGTTCTTCCTTGGTTTCATTCGTCTACATTTTATTTTTGTTGTTTGTTTTTTTCCTCTCATCAAAGTTATACTGTGTAGTCTTACTCAGCCTGAAGTAATTTTGCACGATCCACGCTGAAATGGATTCAAATTATTGAGACCTAGCTCTTCCAAATCCTGATATCAAGCACTCATTATTAAGTAATATCCTCTAGGAACTTGTATAACTTACCATTTATAATATTTCCCTCCATCCAAAAGACACAAATTGTCATCGCTCTCTACGACGATCTGATTTCTACTCAGCTGAATCTCTCCTTCGACATTCACGATTGAACGAGTTCTGAAAAATCCAACCATGAGCAATGAATATGCTTACAATGTTCATAGTCCACCTAATCGGCTACTTTTTTGGAAAAACCAACGGATAAAAATAGTCACTACTTCCGCTTAAAATTTCTTTGATTAATTCTTGGGAAAAAAAATTTCAAAAGTAGCGAGATGGGTAGAGAATATCGAAGTATAGTGATAAGCTTACAGCGTTAAAACAGCCAATGTCGAGCACGTCTCTTTAGTTTCGAGGCAGGATCAGTTTTACAGGATATCTACGTATGTTTAATTTGCTTAAATAGTATGCATTTTATAAGTTCTTACCGAAACAGAACAGCTTTATTCGATCCGTACGCTCCAACGGCGATATCTACGGAAACAGACAAAGACACCGTTACATCGTGGCTACAAGTTTTCACTAACTTTAGGTCAAGGAGTTTAGAAGTGAATCTACCAGATTTACCTTCCTTAAGTAACTAAAAGCAAACATCTCTGACAAGACATCTAGCACGCGATTTATAAAGTTGCTGCCGCTCCGTTCCCGGCGAAAGACGTTAAATTGAGATGATTTTTCTGATGACGACACTAGACCTCGATAAAAGCGCACATCAGGTTTTAGTTCATCACATAAAACTTGCAAGATGCCGTCACAATCTGAAAATGGAGCGTCTGGGCGCATTTGGAAGATAAAAAAGTCTGAAGGTGAATAATTATTCAAGTACATACCGCACAGATACCAAAACATTAGTTTATTTCTTTAAATATACCGAAAAATGGTCGGAAATCAAACTCTTAACGCGCGATTTTGTCTAATCGGCTGCTCGGAGGTGAATAGTACTTGATATTCACTTCCGAACTAGCCAATCAGTACGCGCGAAAAGTATTATTCACTCCTGTGGTATGTACTAAAAACTTATATTCTACCTGGATACCCATTGTCGTCCATGTCAACAATTCCAGCGAGACTTGAGCCAAATAATCTCAGTCCCGTATCCACGGATGAACCTCTCAGTTTCTGCAACGAAATAGAAGAAGGAGAAGCTGAGACAGTTGCTGGCATGGGTTAAGCAAGTCAACTCTTTCAAAAAAATATATAGATTAAAAATACTAATAGACAGCGCTCAACCAAGCACCCAAGGGTGGATTATTTGAAAATACGCAATCTAGGACTAATTGTTGTAATTAATGAGATGTTCAACTTTGCACAATTGAGGCTTTACTCAACAAAACCTCGTGCTTACACACTGAACATAAACATGGCGACCTAACAAAAAACATTCGCTCCGACGAAGGGCTAACGCTCGAAACGTCAGCTTTTGTAATCATTACGGTGGCTAATTTACCATTTCAACTTTGTTGATATATCCAAATTATAACAAAAAACAAGTCCGCTGACACGTGTGGACTAACAACTCCGCTGCCATGTGTGCGGGCACTAAACTGCGCAGGAAGCCCAGTAAACAACAAAACAGTTAAACTCAAGTGCCAGTCAAATTGTCACATTATCACTACAATGGTTACACTTGAAATGACTTGAAAACAGTTTAAGTTAATGATATCCTGGCAGGAACATCCCAATCTATCATCTGTATTTATTCCCCTGAATCTCGAATCGAGAAGAAATAAATAGGAGCAGTAAAAGTATATTTAAATTAATGAATTTAAATACATGAAAATCATATATAGGTACTGCGGTTTCAAGAAATGTATGAAAGCGATCCTCGAAGTAATGAACCCTACTTGTGTAGTAATGATAGTGAGTAATAGCAGAGCACTGCACCGGTATCGTAAAGGTCGTGGGTTCAAATCCCGCAGGGACCTGAACTTTTTTGAGGTGTCATTACCACTACTTCATAAGTAGGGTTCATTACTTAGAGGAACGCTTTCATACATATATCTAAATGATTCGACAATTCGTGGGAAACTTGATTCAAGTTACTGGGACTGCGACTGGACAAACAGGTTTACTGCCATTTTGAATTAGATGAGTTAGAGCATACTTTGAATTGGTCCGAAGACAAACCTGTTTGTATGTAAAGTTAATTCCATTGCTGGAGCCGTGGTAAATGTAGACAGCGCCGTTGTCTTCGAAAGGGGCACTAATTGCAACATCTGCCGATCAATAAGCGTTGTTAGAGCGGAAAGCACTTTGAATTTGTGTCTCACCACATAAAAGCTAAGAATGAATTACGAAGTCTTATATAGCTAATGCCACACCGTGATTTCGCAGATTCAATATTGAAAACTTTAAGTCTGTATCAAGAAAGTCTGATATGGTGCGGAATTAACCCTATATGTCTAAGGTAAAATGTACCTTGGAAGCTGTCTTTGTTTAGATCTCCGACTCTTGCTATCGCTCTTCCAAACTGGCCATACGGCGTGTCATCACCAACTAGACCAAGTGGATCTTGCACATCAAGCGCACCCTTAAAAATAAAAGGAAACATAGTACCTCATTTTCCCATAAGCGGTCAATCTAAAATGTGACTGACCCTGATAATAACTTCCGCTCAATTTACAGTAAATAATTGACAAGACTGATGGGCTGAATGACTGACAGAACGAATAATAACTCAAGTGATAAACGGGAAGAAGTACTGATTGACTTACTGCCTGTCTGGCTTGCTGATTGGCTGATTAACTGACTGACTGCCTGTCTGGCTCGCTAGTTGGCTGGCTGACAGTGACTGCCTGTCTGGCTCGCTGGTTGGCTGGCTGACAGTGACTGCCTGTCTGGCTCGCTCGTTGGCTGGCTGACAGTGACTGCCTGTCTGGCTCGCTTGTTGGCTGGCTGACAGTGACTGCCTGTCTGGCTCGCTGGTTGGCTGGCTGACAGTGACTGCCTGTCTGGCTCGCTAGTTGGCTGGCTGACAGTGACTGCCTGTCTGGCTCGCTGGTTGGCTGGCTGACAGTGACTGCCTGTCTGGCTCGCTGGTTGGCTGGCTGACAGTGACTGCCTGTCTGGCTCGCTGGTTGGCTGGCTGACAGTGACTGCCTGTCTGGCTCGCTGGTTGGCTGGCTGACAGTGACTGCCTGTCTGGCTCGCTGGTTGGCTGGCTGACAGTGACTGCCTGTCTGGCTCGCTGGTTGGCTGGCTGACAGTGACTGCCTGTCTGGCTCGCTGGTTGGCTGGTTGACTGATCGACGGACTTACTCGTTGACTGACTGACCTGACTGAGTAGCTGTCTGATCGACTAACTTAGAATTGGACTTTAACATGGAATTTAGGAATAAAAAACAGATATCACGACATAAATGATGGACGAAGGGAGAAGATTGAACAAAAAAAAAGATCAAACTTACCATCTTGTTGTTAACGTAAACAAATACCCGGCCCTTATCGCTATCTGATGCCCTTGGGGCACCGACCAGTAAATCTGAAAATCTAAAAGAACAAATCATATGATCAAAATTAGAACCTTTTTTCTGCTCGGCCGATTGTGTATGAGGTTTATCCATGAATCTGCAATATGCCATATCACTAACTTGTCATTGTTTAGATCAACCACGCAGATCGAGCTTCCAAAATAACTCCCAACCTGAGCAAGAAAATTAGAAAAATAGTTACCTTTAATATGGTGTTAATGCTCAAAATCGGGAACTGTAAAGCACGGTTCGGGTCAGCTGGTTTAGGGGGATCCTCTATCATAGATAAAGACGTTTCACCTGGTCTTTTTTTTCCTACGACTACGCGCAATTCTGCTAATTTAGTTTATAAGGTCAAGAGTCACACGGCAATGCGTTCCTTTTATTAGTGCTTGTCAGCCAACCAGACGCACGACAAACCACCACGAATTGATCGTCCGCGTTTTTCTGAGCTTCAGGCAGTTTTGTTCAAAATACGTTTACATTCGGCTCTCGTAAGCTCTTCGTGGTGTTTTCCTATGTCCTGATTGGCTGTTGCGATGGCTATAGGTTTGACTCAACGACATGCACTCATTCGAATGCGCTTTGTTCACTTAATTAATTTTCTTACTCACTTTAATTTCTGGTGGTGAAAGAATCTCCGAAGTGATTCCGATGTCGTTTCTTTCCGGCGAATACTTGTACAACACAACCTATAAAAAAAAAACCGTAGTCCAAGTTTTGTTATTTTAATATCTAGGCTGATAGGTGTTGGGACGGAGGTAAATCGTTCTAGCTGTCTCCGTGCCTCGTACCTGTTTCCGTCTCTCGTCAATCAGGCATCGATGAAAACTCAGTCAAGTTTCGGTAACCTTTCGTATTGTTCGTCACAGCAGTAATCGGCAAAGTGTGACGAGGCCTAAGACATTTAACAAACCTAGTGTAAGTGTCCAAACCTTATGTCTACGTTACGTCAGTAAGGCATTGGTAGATAATAACTGCTTACCTAAGGATAGGTTATTACCAAATCCTAATCGTATCATAGGACTGGAAAATTAAAGTTCTTGTACTCACTTTTCCACGAATGCCATTTGCTCTTGGTGCACCTCCAATAAATTCTAAGACGAGGAAAATGAATAAATGAGTTCGCCAAAGTCATTTCACAAGTCAAAGGAAAATGAAAATCATTTAAAAAGTACGCCATGATGCACCTGTTGATTTTTGGCTCAAAAAATTACCGCTTGAAATTGCATAACCTAAAAATGAAAATTAACACAATTTCAGACTCAATTCTTTCCAACAGTTGCAGATAAGATTGTTAATCAATTAACGAAATAGATCATCCATACCCATGTAGGCGTCTATTTTTAACTTAGTAATCGGCGAGAAAATACTCTTTTCCGCAGACAAAGAATAGGCAGCCAAACCACCTAAGAATAAAAAAAAAAAGATAAGTACAGGAAGAAGAGGAGTATGGCCAGTATTTCAGCCACTAACTCAATCACTGATTGAGTTTACCTCTGCCAACGGAAACTCCAACGGTGCCCATAAGTAACTCCTCGCCATCTGCACTGAATTCAGCGCTGAGCCCTGCTTGACAGTAACCGAGAGGATGTCCTACTTTCCCTAACAAAAACATCAAAGAAAAATTTACAAAGTATTCGCGAACAAACGATCAAAAAGAACAATGGCAAGAGGTTTTCTTAATTTCCCCGACAAAAGCATCAAAGAAAATTAGCAAAGTATTCGCGAACAAACGATCCTGAAAGGAACAATAACAGAACAATAACGCTTCGATTGCTTAAAGTAAAAAAGAATATTGCCATAAAATACTGTATTTTGTATACCTTCGCATGGGGAAATCGCCTCTCGTTGAACTGTGAGGTCTCTATACATCAAGAAACACCTTCCTGTCAAAGCGATGTACCGGTGATCGATAATTCCTTCCTTGCGGGTGAACGGTGCCTCCATGTACCGAGGAGCACAAGTCTAACATGTAAAAGAATACCACACAATTGAATTGATAGAGAGGTTTTAGGTTATCATTAGCGCTGCGGTACGAGTTCGAGAAAATATTCATGGTGATTCAAAGAAAATAGGTCTGGAAGTTGAGTCAATGAATTTGCTCAGTCTAAGGACTTCGTTAACTTAGTTTAAGCTAAAAGACCTTTGTCGCAAGGGTCTCGGTTACATTTTCCTCCGGGAAGTTCTCTCCATTCTGCAATCATTCAATCTTCTCACAGTGAAACCGAGCAGTTACGAATATATTTCTTTTATTTCTATAAATCATCAGCAGCAGTATAATGGAATAGGAGAGACCAGGGCTAGGCTCCTAATTAGGGGATAAGACGAAAACAGCCAACGATTGCAAATAGGAAAGAGCTGAAGAGTTTTGTTTCTCTCTCTCTCTAGACTTCCACGGTTTTTTTTTTTCCGTCGTCTCCGTTGACCGAGAGCGTAACACAAACTTTTTGACTCACCACCACTTTTCCGTTCTCGCTAGTGCTATGCAACGTCGCCCCTAACCACTGCTCAGTTTTCTTTTCGACTTCAACAACAACGGTCCTGTTACCTAACTGATGTACCTCTTCCTTCGGTGCTGCGATAAAAACGCTCCAGTTACTTTAATATGTTTCGTGAGAGCATACTTTGTGATTGGATACTAGAGAGGGAGCTTTGTAGAGAGCAAATAAGAGATCTGTGTATCTTTTCGAGCCCGAAACAATAAAGAAAACAGATTGTTCAAAGTGCATCTACCAAAAAACCTGACTCCAATCGAAGCGGGGGCGTGTTTAAGTTTTGCGTTGACTCCCCGTAAAAGCTTCAAACATCTGCATGCCTTTACACACTTAATCAGTCAGAAACGTTTAAAACAATCCTTAACACTAGCTATTCCATTTTAAGGAGTTAACCCATACAGGTTACCATTATACTCTGCGGAAATTCTTTAATCTGATACTATTGTCGATGATATATTTATTTCAGGATTTCTCCTCTCCCCACCCCTTAATTAGGGGAAGAGAAATCCTGAGAACGAGATTTACTGTGGATATCTGTTGCTGAAAAAGCAAATTGCTCTTAGAAACGAACATCAATGGTTTATTCCGAAGAAAAGAACTAAAAAAAAAGACTCAAAAGAACTTACTTTGATGATCCATCACGATTTCTGAACATGAATTCGATCCGAGTTGGTATTGACATTTAAACACGGTTCCGTACTTGATTAAGGTTTTCTGTCCATTTGTAGAAGTTACGTTACTGAGAGGTGCCCCAACTAATAACCTGTAAAATAGACGAACAATTTAAAGGAAAAATAAAGTAAGCAATCCTTTTAGTTCCAGTGGTGGTTAGCATTTTCGAGGGCTTCTCTACATTTTATGACCGTGATAAAAGTATAACTGAAAACTAAACGTAGTTATTGACCTGCGAGCATGCTCTCTTTACCAGCGCTGCCCAGGCCTGAGCGCTGTCGGTCGCGTTATTCTTCGGCCGCGGGAAGATTAGATTTCAGACGAGTCGGAGAGAGGTTTTCCGGGTTTGGCACGAGCGAAGAAACACTCGTGCCAAAGAACCAGTGCAGGTTACGTACATATTTGAAAAGGAACTTTCATGCTGAGTCGGGTGGTGGTGAAATACCTAGTTTATCATCATCTAGAAGTTGACGATCAACTCAGTGTCTAATTAGAATTAGACTTCCTTCAGCGCCAAAGTCCGGTGTCAAAAATATTACTTATTTATCATAAACTTAATGTGTTAATTATCAACTACTTGATTAAACTCGTTACTCGATAGTGATTCAATCTTTTGCTGATCATCAACCTAACCAATTTCAGGCTAGAAAAGTATTATTTAACGTCAAGTGACAACGGCTTCTCTAATCTAGACCCTTTAAAAAGAGGTGGTTTAAGATTCGGTTGATATTTCCGGTAGGCAATTGGGTAAAAGCAAGCAAAAGAACATTGAATTTCAAAGGCTAACTCCACCTCGCTCTCAACAATCGCCTTCGTAGCTGAGATTCCTTTCCAAGGCTAAATTCTTTCAGGCTTCTTTGATCAGTTAACAAAGGTTTCATTCGAGCTTGAAAACTGTTTTTCAAAACAAGATCGACCCGAAATATTCGCTAGCTAATACGCAGGTACTATGAAGTATTCTCTGTAGGGACGAAAATAATTACATCGTTCCCTTATTTACATCTAGATGTAAGACCTTGCATTTTCCCAAGTAAACGACGAACACGTGTTGATGAGACTGTGTCATTAACAAGTTGTAAACAAAGATTGATACGTATTTCCTTTTAAATCAAAGCGTGCGCCTCGCGAAAAAAGATATTTCATCGCCAGTCCTTTCCCTGTACCTCTCTTCCGCTCAAGGAAAATAAACTACGCAATTGAAAAAATAACAGAGTACCTTATCAAAAACGAAAATTCACTATTGTTCGACCAGTTTACGGGGCAAAAGAAGGTAAGCCTCCAGTTATTTTCGAAGGAAACATTTTCTCTTCTAGCACTTCCTGATATGCCAGGTTACACCTAGCGAGGGTTGACATTTTTCACGAGTTGAAAATTACGTTACAAGGTAAAAATTCAAACGGAAAAATTTATGCTGACGAAGGCGTTTTAGATTCGAAAAGAAAGGAAAAAATTATTAATCGCAGCTGCTTCTGCATTCTAACTCTCCCTCAGGGAATTTTCTGATTCTGTGCTCCGGTGGACCGTCTGAATCAGCCACAATGTGTCTTTGTTATTTTAATTGACACGACAAACTATTTGCAAGTTCATAAGTCACGGTCTAATGCGCATTCAACTTTTCGTTGATACTTAGCAAAGAAAAGTTGGCAATTCAAACTCGATGCGACCCTTCGGTAGGGCCAAAGCCTCTCTAACAATCCGTAGGTGGTAGCTGAGATGGAGCGAAAATCGAAGTAGTTGTACATACCGCTCAATGGAATGGAAAAAATAAATATATACAGAGACGTCGCCGTCAGGAAGTGCGAGGTAAAACGCATCGCAGCTTTTACCTTTCATTGTAAAAGCGTCTATCAGAGATTCAAGATGGCATACAAGTAATTAAGAATACAAAAACCACTACTTCTAAGCTCTTAAGAAGATTTCGCCAGATTTAGTGCTGCTTCAGCGGTGTTTCAGATCAGCTTCATTCCCCGAAGCCGTCGGCGAATAGTCACGAAATACAAAGATACAAGTATTGTGGCCAATTTGTCGTAAAAGTTGCTCAACATAAATATTTGTTTGGTTGACTTGGAACTACATTTTGTCAGCCTCTACTTCTCTGAGAAGATATAGAAGGTAAAAATAATTCAAGGCGAAGAAGCGGGACTTAACATTAATTCTAAGGAAATCATTTGTGTGCAGTTTGACAAAAACGCTTTCAGACTGAGTGGACAGTCCATTCAGAATTAATTTTCCGTCAAATATTGAACAACAACTAAATGTAAACATCTGAGACGGAATATTGAAAATTACGAGCTTTGAAAAGTTTTACGAACAGGGAAAAACCGCAAGGAAGGCTTTCCTAAATAAACATACAAATTGAAGGCACTTCCATTGAACTTACCACTTCTGACCGTTGTAGGAATGTGTCGCTACAGAATAACCAAACAGATCACTTTCGGCAGGGCCATCGTAGGTGACCGCCGATTTCACGTCCAAGTTGAAGGCGAAAACTTTACCAAGAGTTAAAATAGATGCAAAATGAAGGGTATTCCTTAGTAGTCTAAGCTCCATTGGTAGTAATAACGTGATTGCTGGTTTCAGTCTCGAAGTTGGTGTTGGCCAAGTTTTGACCGAAAGTGAAGCGAGCTAGCGGAAGGACGAGTAAACTTTTCACAAATGACGTCAACAAATCCGCCTGAATAGCGAGCGACCCCGCCAAATATTGCTGTGGGCGTGGGTTGATTGAGTCACAAACCACTTTTGATTTGAAGAAGATAACATTAAAACCCATTAATTGCGGTTGAAAGATATTAGGAGGTAATCTTTCCATTTTCCTTTCAGGAAAAAACAGAAGGCATGAACACAATAAGGCGAACTTCGACCATTCTGAGGCATCAATTTTACCGAACCGGACAGTTGATCAAATTGTAAAGATTAATTTGTTGTTTTAGTTCTTCAAATTTGTTTGGGGTACTTCAAATTTTAGCCACCCCCTTTCCTCTGGCTTCATCCTTCGTCGTTTATGTAGTGATGACTCTGATTTCCACCACAAATCAGAGTCAATGTGCCAGTTTTTCGATAAACGTGGTTACCCTGATTCTATCGTTCAAGCGGGTTACCACCGCGTCCAACTTGTTGATCGACATTCAGCAGGCTACAAACGTCACAAAAGGAAGATTCCGACCGCATTCCATTCACTCTCACGTTTCACCCTCACAACCACTCAGTTAAATCCATCATTCTTAAAAACTTTAAATTACTTCAAAACGATCCAGAGACAAGCACTATCTTTTCGCAGCCTCCGCTCATTTCATTCAAACGCGACAAAAACATAGGCAATTTTTTGGTCAGAAGTTCGGTTCTGTCCTCGTGTACCGGTTCACAAGAGCCGTTACAAAAGACCGAACAATACACAACAGCTAACCAATGACTCCTAAACAAAGAAAGAACAATGGTAATTCCCTTGTGAACCGGTACACCAGGACAGAGCCAGAAGTTCTTTTCAGACTAACGACCAACCAGGCACTTTTAATTGCGCTCGTGCACGATGCAAAACGTGTCCTTTCATACACAACACTGAGAAAATATCGGGACCCAAACGATCCATCATGATTAAGATCACCGATCACTTCACGTGCACCTCCGCCAATGTAATCTATTGCATAACTTGCACTTATTGCAAAAAGATCTACATCGGCGAAACAGGCAGAAGACTAGATGACCGATTCCGAGAACACCTTCGCGACGTGGAGAGGAATGACAAGGACACATCGAAACGAGTCGCTAGACATTATTATTTACCGTCCTTCATCCTTCACTTGACCTCTAATATGCTAAAAGAAACACGCAATTTTAATTTGAACGTCCCATTTGATTGTCCGGAATCCAAATGTTTAGACAGCCTAAAGAGTCTCGGCAAGCAACTTTACTGAGTTTGAATAGGCTACAGAGCAAGCTTACGTGCAAGTTTTAATTTCAACATAAAGTTACGCATAATATTTTGTGTGCATTCTCTGATTTCAATCAAATTGAAACAGATCTGTTCAACGGATGAAATTTTCCACATGTTAACTGCCACATAGAGCCATATCACTGAGTCTTGACGGTTTTAGATATTATGGATATTTCAGCATTAATTTCTTAACAGCGAATAAGGGGATTTTTATTTTTTGGTCTCTTTTACATGCCTTTCAAAGCACTGCAAACGGCCTGTTGCGTGAATAATCGCCTTGAGAAGATCAACCTTTCATCAGTTTGGTTCAAATAACAGACAAATACCTGAAGGCCTAGCTTTGAAGTATGTAGGGAAGCTCAAACGTTGGAAAAGACGGAGCAAATTCCAAACGGAATCGGGTACGGACAGAATTAGAAACGAGGGCGTATGAACGACCCCAAAATATGTGAAATACCAATTCGCGGTGATTCCTCTATCGCCTTTGCGAGACGGCAGCTTGGTGGATAACTTTATTATTGGTCAGTTTAAATTTGTTACAATTCCAATTGGACAAACAGGAAGTCTGCATCTTCACAAACGCCCTAATCTTTAACTCGTGACGACTCGTGCAGTTACGCATTTTTCGAGTAACATGACCCGCGTTTTAACGTCACGGCCAGGCCCCTGCGTGGGTGTTGAGCTGGCGGGGGCCTGGGGAAAGGTGGATATTTCGGATTGGAGTGACGCATTTCCCAAACATAACAGACATATTTTACGACAGTTCAGATTAACTACCTTCAGTTTGCATGCCAGAGACTACAAAATTTTACTCCAGCAAGATAGAGAAGACTAAAGAGTTAACAAAAGCCAAGGAGAGACCTGAAACGTTTAGGATAAGGAAGATGAAGACGATTGTACATCAGACAGCCTGCAGCCACTCAAAAACTCAAGCTCAATTCTTTTTTCTAAGATACACAACACTAGACGTAGATGTCCAGCACTTTTATGTTGTTTCTAGTAAATTAAGTTGATGCGGACATCACAAAACAAGTGCACGAGGTTGCTTCTGTTAAGGCTTCTTCCTCTATTTAATTTTTATATCACAAGTTCGACTCGACCGTTGAAGATGGTGCCCGGATGGCATTTTCACAATTTAGTGTGGGAAGCCCTAGCTGTGGTTATTTTCTTTTCTTCGCCAGATTGTATGCAGTATTCTACAAATAATTATGTACATTTACCCCTTAGTGAAAAGAAATCAACTTAATGGGGGATCTACATGGCTTCTGTCAACTATCACCACAAATTTCCGGCTTACCCCTCGCTGTCTTCGGTTATATATTTCGGTTCATAATCTGCGTAGAAAGAGTTTAAAGGGATCGCAATCGCAAAAATACGTGAATTCCAATTAAGTTACTTCTGCTGCACTAGCTCCCACTAGCAAAAGTTAAACTACCACGCAATAAAAGTTACGGCAATCTTACTTGCGTGCCACCCGTGATCCCTTCCCAAGCCAGTGGCTGGCTTGAGAAGGGATCACGAGATAAACCACAGGAGGTAAAACATTTTCTGCTCAGCTGCTGTGGCGCCATTCCTTTGGAATGCTCAGTACCAGCCAATACTGGGGCTGAGGGCACACTCGCTCCCAGGGCCTTTTCCCTTAGTTGGACGTGAGGCGGGAAATGGGCCTTTTCCCGCCCCACCCCCAACCAATGGAAAAGGCCCTGGGAACGAGGTTGAGGCTGAGAGCTAATTGCGAAATTTATGACAGCACTGGAAACACACCTTCGTGGATTAGTTAACCAATAACGTTTTTCTTTCTTTTTTTTTTTTCGATAAAGCTGAGCACGCTTTGCTTACTGTTCACCAACGTTTACATTTCACCAATCTTTTGGATCAATTCATCATCTATGGTCGTAATCATTGTCATTACTATTGTTATCATTTATATTGTCCCAAGAGTCGTGACGTCACGGAGAGAGAGGTTGGTCCACCTCAACCCAGACCTGGCGCGGGTCATAAGCCGGAGGTAACACGTCCGCAGAGAATGCAAGCGACGGAAAGTAAACTCCGCCCACTCCCATTTCTTCTGATTTCAATCCGGCTAGACTGTCGGTAGCTTAGTTATTTTTAAAAAGCGGAACAGAAAATATTTAGACTGGCTAGTGTGAGAATAATCCGTGTTGCGTCGCCCTGGAATTGGTTCAAGCTTCTCTACCAATAAAGGGTCGCTGTCGTGAACTCGGAGGTCCGCTTTAGCCTTTGCCCATGATCCTCAGCATAGCAGATGTGTGTCTGTGTCTGTCCTTACTCCACAAATCTTATAGCGAGTGAAACAACTTGTTTACAAAATCATCAAATCTTTCGGATTTCTTAGAGCCCATCAGCTCTTTGTGAAGTTTTGCTTTTGTTCTTTTCGACCAAAGTGAAAGTGCTACGTTTTTGGCTTCATCTTATTGGAAAAAAAGCCATGCGCTTCCGACCACAAATAACTTTACAAAATCAGTATAACATTGCATCGGCGATCCAATACATAACCGTTCCTTACGCAGTTTATGATTACAAAATTGTGTAAATCATTCCCGGCATTCTAAACTTGAAATCAACTTGAAAAAAAACAAAAGAAGCACTCAAGTAAGTAATCAAGCCTGCAAAGATAAAAATTCCGGAATCATTTAATTGGTCTATTCCCTGGTTACCGGTAGTAAATAAAAAAGAAAAAAAAATTATGAATAGGACAAGTAACCAAAGAATAACTCTTTCTGTGTTCAAAGTCGTCTAAAGGTTGTGTTTGTTATGTTTGCTATGATGTTCCCAGTATCTTTTGAAGAATGTATTTTCAATACTTCATTCAAGTTTTTATGTATGATGCACGATCCTCGCAATAGAGAGCGCTATTTATGCAATAGCGAAAATCAGACCTGAAAAAATCAGCCCTGTACGGGATTCGAACCACTGACCTCTGCGATACTGGTGCGGCGCTCTACCAATGGAGCTAACAAGCCAACTGGGAGGAGGCCGTTAAGTTGATACTTAAAAAACCCGTTATGATAAATCAGATATGATGAATATATGAAGTTCATATATTCATCATATCTGAATATATGCAGGTCGGATTTTCGCTATTGCATAGATAGCGCTCTCTACTGCGAGGATCGTGCATCATACGTATCTATAACCGCAGTTCAAAATGTATGAACTACATATGTTCATCATATCAAGTTTTTATATTGCATGACTAACATGCGCAAACATGTGACGTCATTGGACTATAAATTTGCTTGACCCCTGACAGACTTTTGCGGTGATTACTGTTTTACATGTATGCATCAGCGAGAAAAGGATATTTAGTTAGTCTAGCTTATTTAGCTCTACTTTTAATCGCATCTGGTTCCTCACACCGATAACTTCTCAGTTGGACGACTTTTTCGGCCTTATTGAGGGCGGATCGCCAGGCGGGCCAATCTTGACCCTTTGGAAGGCTCTCGTTAAAACCGTGACAAGCGACCTTTAGTAAACAAGATCTTGAAAGGTCCCGAGTTTCGTTTAAAGGCTTTTTTGTTGGCTCTGTTTCAGGAGTGGCGTGGATTTAACAGGAAACTTTTTCTCTTTCGTGGCTACGAAACGTTCCCTGTTTCGAAACGGGAGTAAAAACATCACCTTCGAAACTTCCATACAAACACCGGAGACGTGCACACTGCCACCTCCTTATTCGTTAGAGTATTATCTTGCTCCGGATCCGACGTGTATTAATATCTTCATCACCTGTTTATAAAGGACCATCATCTGACATCCCGTCTCAAATTATTGGCAAAGTTGCCGTGTTGAAGAGCAAGAGAAATTTTGCTCATCAACTAAGACACACGACTTTATCTCGGATCAAGAAGTCACCGAAGGAATCAGGACAAAACTTGACATGGAATTTCGGACGTTCCTAGCATTATTAATTTTTCTGTGGCAGTCTTTCGGTATTTATGGTTTTAACTTGGATACAGCCTCTCCTGAAGTCTTCGATGGGCCTCCGATGAGTGAATACTTTGGATACTCGGTCGCTCTTCATTCGCAACAGAATAAATACTGGTAGGTGTGTTCAAAATGAGTCTCGGCGCGTTCATGCTTGAAGTCTACTTTAGCATTTTGTTCAGGCGTCGTTTCTAAGAACTAATCCCAAGTGTAATTAAAATTGGAACTTTAAATAATCTTTCAAAGCTCTCAAATCTGCGGAGTCACGAAAAATTTATTCTCATGTCGGCATATGCTTTTATAGGAACGAATGAATATTAAATGTAGCGGCTCCTGAAAATTTCATAACAACTCGGTTTCATTCATTCCAGTTGTTCCGTTAATGCGCGTGTAGGTTAAGCGTGATCTTGTGTGAATATCCATATTTGGATGAAAGTGCAAATCAGTCTAAAGAAAACATTCTTGGGAGAGTAAAGAGTGTTTGTAAGGCGAAGGGATTCTAATATTGCTTTAGATAAACAAAATCAAGAGGTTTTTACAAAAGGCCTTGTTTTCATTGCGCTGAACGGATAAATGTGTTTGACAAGATACCATCAAGTCAATAAGTCGTCAAGTTTTAAGATCGGTTTATTGACTGTTCTTTTACGAAACTGTTTTTGTGTAAATTATGATAATTGAGATCAAGATGCATGCGTATTACCGAAGTGTTGTTTTACCCTCCAAAATCTTATCAGCTCAAGTTAATTATAGCCGACAGTTATTAATTAGCAATTTCCATTGCATCAATTGCAAAGATAAACTTTGCACAATTGAATTATGCAGTTATTTTACTTTTGAAAAGGCCACATGTAGAGGAAAATGTAACGTTAGCCCTCAACCGATGTACAGCAGCTCTTATGCATTGAAACTGTCTCTTTAGGTTGCCTTAGATCTTTCCTCTCTACTAATACAGAGAAAACATCTTGGTTTGTGATAAAACATGCAAAAATCTAGGCATCCACAAACCGACAGTCATGCATTTTTTTAATTGCAGAGGATAGTTTTACCTACAGCTCCATTGAAGATGTTCCACTTTTTATCCTTTGTGCATCTGAAATAAATTATTTATGATATATAGCTCGTATGTTACCAGATGATTTAGATGGTGACCTGTAAGGATCAAGTATCTGTTAGGATTTATAATCTTGAACTTGAACTTGAACTTGAACTTGAACTTGAACTTGAACTTTATTTTTATTTAGACACGATAAATCTATCAGATAAATAATAATATTATTACAATCTATTATTACAATTACAATCTGCTTTAATCTATAGAAACATGATCTAAAATTTAAAAGTGAAATAAAAAAAATAAAGAAATTCTGCTTTACATAGATGCCGTGTGCGTTTTGGCGATTCAGACGAAGAAATCGCGGCAACCATTTCGAAAAGATTGAAGTGATTTTGCTTGCCACAATTCAGGGGACAGGCTATTCCAGATTTATAATGTACAATCTCAACTGCCTTTAACACGACATTGTGACCAGTGTAATGCAACATGCCAACTTTTATATTATGAACGAGATACAAGCACCTTGATTGGTTCATTGAATGCATCAGTTAACCCATAGAAAATTGAAGTTTATTACATGTGGGTTATTAACCAAGCATGAGGTCCAGATGACTGGATCTTGGCCAAGTTCTTTTTTCACATTTTTATGGCCGAGACGAAGTCAAGGTCCATAAGAATGCAAAAAAAGAGTGACGTTAATATCCAGCCATCTTGACCTAACAAGCTTGCATAGTTAATAAAGGATTTATTTTATTACAAAAATGTTTCACAATATCAAGAATTAAGATTGACTTGTTTCATGCGAGAGCTGCAAAAGAAAGCCAACTGTGCATGTTTGTAGCACAACACACTCATGGGAGTCATTTCTGTTTTCTTTGTTTTGACTATCTTCTGCTGCCTTTTGTGTTTCCATCACCAACATACACTATTAATGTCTGAGAATTACAAACATAGTTGTAATTCTATTTGTTTCATATGTGGGATCAATGCGGGCAATCTTAAGCAGGCAAGGCTGGCAAGGCAGGCAGTGCAAGCAATGTAATAAATAAAAGTAATAGACAGCACTCTCCATTGCTTTTATTAACAATGTAATTAACCATTTGGGATGTTGGGAGAACACTGAAGTAAATCACAAGGCAGAGGCAAGTGATTTACAAATTCTTCCAAAAATGTTCTTCCAAAATCCTGCTAGGGTTCTTAATTATGCCAGTAAACCATTAGAAAGGGTAGCATCCCAATGTCTCACACATGATCTTGAGGTAAAACACAAGATCTTGACTTATATCGTGAGATATTTGTATAAGACTAGTATAATTGTTCTGATGATTATAGAAATGCATGTGCTTTGATTGGTGGAGAACTGTGTTGTATCTCATTGTAATCACTTTGCACATTAATTTTGATATCACACTTCTAAAGTTTGTAAAGATTAAATCAAAGTAACCCAGCTGTTAAATACTATTATGGACAATTGTAACAGAATGGTTTGTAACAGCAAAATGAATTTACAACAGAAATTAAATGCACCTGAGCAATTACACTAAAACAATAATTTTCTTTATGCTCAGTGCATGAATATTGATATTAAATAGTCCCCTCGAATTTTTCTCAAGGATTATTCAACAATATTCACTGTGCCTTTGACAGACAATTGTTAAATTGCTCAAGATCTTGACCTATAATGTGCAGTTTTGAGTTATAAAGCAATCTCTTGTTGTAGGCTTATCACAATATAACTCGACAGGTATACTGTACACTAACCCCAACCCAGTGCTAGTACACTAGAATCAAAAAGTGCTTTTTTATATTGAAGGGGAAAAGGAGGTAAAATTAAATGCACTTGTTTTTATTTTTATTAATAGGGTTATGGTTGGCGCCCCACTCAGTAATGTAACAGGTGTTGATGGCTCAACGTTAACAAAGTATGGAGCTGTGTACAGATGTGAATATCCCGGCTCACAATGTCAAGCCATTAAAATTGACGACCGGTGTAAGTATAAGTTTGATTATGGGTATTATTTATCCACCAAGCAGGTCGCTGGAAAAGATGCTTATTAAGTTGTTGACATTAATTTTTTTTACATTAGAAATAAACTTGGAATCTTAAAAGAGTATGGTTGTATAACTTGTACCTAAGTTACAATCATGATTGTTTCTAATCATCTAATTTCAATCACCTTAAGCTAGCTACTGTAGCCCACTCATCAAATTGTTGCAGACCTGTAGGAAAGTTCAATTTTTGTTCCAAAATTTGCAAGAATCATTTTAGAAAAGTCAAGCAGGCACAAAATAAAATCAGAGACCTGGACCTACAGGACTATAAGCTGGACATGCCCTGCATACAGGTACAGTTTGTACTGTTGGCAGTCTTGCTGACTTAAGTGGTAGTCCTGATTGGATTCTTCCTTGTCAAGAGTTGATGGTAAAAAAATAGTAAATACCAAGATGTAAAGGGAGAAACTTCACATTTATCTCATATGTGGTTATCAGAAACAACAGTCTTGATATGTTGCTTTATTTTACATTTTACTTGTTAGCTGCAAGAACACAATCCGCCTCAAATGAGGTATGGGACATCGAGGTTAAGACTGGACAGTGGATCGGTGGAAGTGTGTACAGCACTGGTACTAACGGCAGAGCTTTGGTATGTTTGTGAGCACTTTAATCTTTAAGAGTGATTATGTACATAGCATATAATTTCTCTTTACAATATCACCCCTGAATCATGCATTTAGGTCACAAGAATAAAGGAAATGATCACCAACTTAAGAAGCTCTTAATTGATAAACAATTTCTCCTTGTGAACACCTTACGAAGGGTGTAGGGTGGAGGCTGAAAGTTTCTAAAGAAACTGTGGTGCTGCATTGGTGGGGGTAACAAGGTAATTTGGTTATATCAACTAAGTTGAAATTGTAAATTGGCCACTGTAACGAATAAAAAAAGCTGACGTTTTGGGTGTTAGCCCTTCATCAGAGCAAATGGCGAAGGGCTAAGGCTCGAAATGTCAGCTTTTTTATTCGTTACGGTGGCCAATTTACAATTTTAACTTAGTTGATATAACCAAATTACTTTGTAAAGAGTTAACACTATTTAATACAAAATCATACAGGTTAAACCCTCTGCAACTTTTTATTGCTTTGCATATTTTCCCTTTTCTCTAAACATTTTTCTTTGATACTGACAAAGAACAATTGTTTGATAATTAAGAGCTTCTGGGCCCAGGTTGTACAAAGGGCAGATAATGCTATCCAACAGATAAATTGCTATCCAGCAGAAAAGTGATAGCAAAATTTACCGCTTTGTCTGCAACCGAATAAGGATTTATCCACTGGATAACGTTATGTAACCTTCAAACAAACTTAGGACCAGATCTTTACTTGACATTATCGTTCCTCAATTCACATCACCATTAATACTGTAAGTTAGAAGAAGTAAGATGCTTATCACCTTAGGAGTCAAAATTATTTGTTTTTGTTGGTCAAAGCCAGGTATTTTAATTTATTTCCCTGCTATGAATAATTTGTTGCTTGATTTATGTACACCTACCAATTACATGATAGAATAAACTATTATTTTCTTCCAAAGCTTGCATATTGATCTGTATATACAGCCAAAAGACTTGTGGCTCATGAAGGAAATAGACTGCTACACTGAAAACATAATTTGTGATTTTAAAGCCATATAGGCCTGCTTATTGAAAACATGTTATTTGTAGCTTGAAACTGCTCTATTTATTTTAGGCTTGTGCACCCAGATATGTCTATCGAAATGTGCCCAATAATGATGGCCTGCATTACTATTGGCTGTTGGGAAAATGCTTCCTCATTTCTGAGGATCTTTCAGCAACGAGAGATGAACGTGTGCCTTGTATGAGTGGTATGATTTTTTTCTCTACCAATAACCCGGCCTCTTACTCTGACCGATCACCATTTCTTGAAGCAATTTGGATATATCAACAAAGTTGAAATGGTAAATTGGCCACTGTAACGATTACAAAAGCTGACATTTCGAGCGTTAGCCCTTCGTCGGAGTGAATAGAGGAATTGTGGGTTGTGTGTGCTTTTAAAGGCACACACAACCCTCAATTTCTCTATTCGCTCCAACGAAGGGCTAATGCTCGAAACATCAGCTTTTGTAATCGTTACGGTGGCCAATTTACCATTTCAACTTTGTTGATATATCCAAATTATTTCGTTACTCCCATCGACGTAGCCCCAAACAGTTTCTTTCGAAACTTAATTCTTGAAACAGATGATCATCAATTCTAGGTATCTAGTGATAATTTGGTTTCACAGTTGATTGAATTAATTATTCCCTGCTTGATAATTGTCATTATTGTGATTACTTATTTGTACAATATACTACAATGTCAGTTCAAATTATTTTGCAAAAATTACTCATCAACCCTTCTTAGTAAACTTCAGTCACTCATTGTTTAAAGGAGCAGTTACTGTTATTAGTGGGACTTAGTTAAGTCACTCTTGTAACTTATTTACCCTTTGTATGGAATTTTTACAAATTGAATGGGATACAAGGACATTGTTAAAGGTTTTAGCCATAAAAAATTGATGCCAGTGTATTTTAATGTAAGTGCACATTTGATATATTTGCAACACTGGTCCCAGGTGTGTTATGCTAAGCTATGATAACGCTAAATATTACTACTGCAAAGTTCAACATTTGAAGTTAATTTAGGAAGAATATCATATATGATAATACTGGATTAGATGTTGTGATTTACATGTAACTACAGTTGAACTCGTATTAAGTGGTCACCCACAGGGAATGGTGGGGTGACCATTTACAGGTTCCATTGAAAAAAAAACCTTACACAATGCCACTTTCTGCCATAATTGACCAGTTAATGTACAGTATCTCAATAAAAATTATTCCTGAGTTTGATTTTGGGAGAGAAACATCAATTAAAAGTTACTTGAAGATTATTCTTACTTCAGTGTAGTTATATTTGAGAGGTTGATCATCATCAGCTTTCAGTGACCATTCAATGCAGTTGGAAAACAATAAAAACAGGCTTTTGGGACTTAAAAATGGATAACTGCAACTGTTTAATAGAGATGACCACCTAATGGAAGGGAAACAAATTCAGGACTTTGACAACTGTCTGCCTAATACAAGGTGACAGCATTGTACCGTGGTGCCTAATACAGGTTCCATTGTACAAGTTGTTCATTTTTGATTTTTTATTAGAACAAAAGGGTAACAACTACTATGGTTATTGTGAAGCTGGGATAAGTGCCGAATACACAGTAGGATATGATCAGGATGTAGTTATGGGAGCCGTTGGAATTGCTCGATGGAAAGGTTAGAACCAAAGAAGACAATTTTTTCTAAATGTAACCTATGCTCAGGTATTCTTTGCTTCATTTCTGAGCTTCACCATAGAAAAAGAATGCCTAATCCTTGATTGTTCCATTGGTACACAATGGACAAGTCTGAGGAAACAGGTTTGGAAATGTTTTACATCAGCATTGAAATGACTGAATGACTGACCAAATTATGAATTTTCTTTTTAAGTCTTCAGTAGCCCAAAACTGTTTGGAATAGCCAGTTAAACAATGCAAGTTACCTACCTGTTAAAAGTAGTCTGAAAAATTTTACAGAACCAGGGCTCTTACAGAGGTTTTGTCTAATTTAAGGTGGAGTGTGGGTGTCTCCTTTCAGTGTAGGTGGAGGTAGTCCAACTTACACTGTGTCACCACAAGACCAAATTAATGATGGAGATTACATGGGTATGTTGTGAACTATGTGCTTGGCAAAATTAATTTTAATGTTTTGATTATTTGATTTGATTTAACATAATTATATCTTAATTATGACTAGTTAACAATTATTGCACGAGCACGCGTTGGATATGAGATGATAGATAGCCAACGAGGCGCATAGCGCCTCGTTGGCTATAATCATCTCATATCCAACAAGCGTGAGTGGAATAATTGTTTTATCAAAAAAAGCGCCCCCACGATATGAGACAAATCTTCTCGACTTTATTTTGTCAGAAGAAACCAGATGTTACAATGTACAGATATTAGATTATGGTATATTGGCTCATATACCATAATGGCTAAGCCAATAAAAAGTCTTGAATTGCATTATCCAATGATCCAGTTTTTAATAATAACAATTAATACATGTACAGGAGTTGTCAAATTCGCATGTAACAAAATTGCATTGTTGTGTAATTTTTTTTTTTAGGTTATTCAGTGACTAGTGGTCATTTCTCAAGCCCATCAAGTACAGGTTTGGTGAATTACAACAAGGACTTACAATGATTAACAGCAGTAGCAATCCTAGATCTGTTTTCTTAGGGAAATCACTGTGTTTCTGTATGCTCTTGTCTCAGAAAGATATTGCTCCTGGCTCAATAGCCCTTTCACTTCAAGCAGTAACCAGGGAGTTTCTATTTAAAGTATCGCAATTAATATATTTTCAAATGCAAAGGTGATCAGGTTAATAGCTGCAGGTCCTATGAAGCTTGTGCCTTTAACACTCATGGTTTCCTCACCTTGTCACTGTTCATCTTAGAATGGTACAAGTCATGTACATCCATGTCTGAACAGTTAACATCTATTCACTGAAGTGGAGGTGGTTAGTGGTGGATATTTACTGAGCTGCAAAGCGGCGAGGTAAATATCCACTTCTAACCACCAACACCAAGGCGAATAGTTGTTTTAGTATATACTAAAACAGCAAGATAATAATTATACACCACCAAAAATTGATTTGAGTGATTTCTTCGCTTGTCACGGATGCAAAACGGGACACCATTTTTTTCCCGAGTTGCTCGGAGGTAAATAGCAAAGGATATTTGGAGTTTGACTAGCCAATCAGAGCGTGCCTTCAATACTATCCACTGTTTTAGTATATACTAATAACTATTAGTCCGGGGTGACAGTTTCTGCAATAGTAATCATCATGATAATAATACATGTAGACTTGTTGATGTCAGTGTTTATTTGTTTTCTGTTTTTATTTTAATCTTTTATTTATTTATCTTTTAACTTTCACTAAACCTGTTTGGGCAAAAGCTTGGAACTCTACACCTCATGATGATCAAGTGATTTTGCACTTGTCTGATTAATACTTTAATAGATGTAATGGTTTGGTCAATATGGATCTTTGGTCAGATTCTGTTGACCTTTCTGCCTAGGTTAATTTACAGCAGGTATAATTCTGTGATAGTCATGCTCATGTATTTTGTTTTGCATATTTCAGAGCTTGTAGGTGGTGCACCAAGAGGTGCCGAACTGAAAGGAAAGGTATATAATTATGATTTTTTTGTGAGCACAAAGTTAGTTTCAATCTTTTTCTTTAGTATAAAACATGACAAGGGAAATAGTAAAATTGCTAATCAGTGATATTAAAGCAGTTGGGTTGTTCCTTTTTTTTCTTTTGAATTTCCTGTTTCAATCTGGATCCTCTGGGTTCTATAAACAAAGGCCAGACTATGGGCTATCCACCACCACCCTCCCCATATTTTAATTCTGATTAAAAAATAAAAAACAATAACAAAAACTTAATAGCAGCCCCTTCTATTAACCTTTAACTCCCAGAAGTGATTAACCTATAACTTCTCCCTATAATATCCATACATGATCCAGCAAACATGTAATGAGAGTACTCAAACTTATCAGGTAGAAGTTGTTACCTTGATTGAACACTAAATTCTCATAACCAATTTACAAGGAAATATGTAGCAGCTAGAGGGGAGAATTCATAATCGGATCATGAAAGTTAAAGGGTTAAGGATTATTAGTATATACTAAAACAGTGGATAGCGTTGAGGGCACGCTCTGATTGGCTAGTCAAACTCCGAATATCCTTTGCTATTTAACTCTGAGCAACTCGGGAAAAAATGGCATCCCGGTTTGCATCTGTGACAAGCAAAGAAATCACTCAAATTAACGACGGTGGTGTATATTATCTCACTGTTTTAGTATATACTAAAACCATTCACCTCAGTGTCGGTGGTTAGCGGTGGATATTTACCTCGCCGCTTCCAGGCGGGTCCACTAACCACCACCAACCACCTCCACTTCGGTGAATAGTTGTTAATTATTCCTAGCATAGTGTTTTTGGTTTATTGGGTTCCAGTTTTTAACGCTGTTCATGAACATAATTTGAGGGTTGTCAGGCACATTTTAAACAACTGCCAGTACTTAATCTTGAGTATGTCTTTTCTAATTAGGTCATCATCTACAATTATGATATATCTAATGATCAGCAGCAACAGATCAGTGTCAGTTCGCCTCTGCCTCAACCTAAAAACATACCGGTGTGTCTTGCATAATGTTATTGGTCTCTATAAAAATTGATTCTTTTTCTTTTTCTCTTTACATGATTTTTTACATTTATTTTGATACTGTTTTCTCCTGTGTTATGTTTCAATACTAACCTGAGAAGGGATACAAACAAAAACATGCAGCTGATTACAAATTAAAGCAGTCTTATCATGTCAATGCATTGAGTTTTTTTGTTTTTTGTTTTAATTTATTTTCAGACTGGCACCTATTTTGGAAGTGTCTTATGTGCAGTGGACCTAGACGAAGATGAGTAAGTTTTATGTACTGAATGTTACTTTTTTGCAGGCACATTCAAGAGTACGTCTCTACCGAATAAATCGCAGATCACATGTATCTCTTAGAGTTATGTTGTTGCGAAAAAAGATGTATTACTAAAAGTAAAATCTGCACTGCAGAAATGCACTTTAGTGTCGCTCCTGCGACAGTGTAGGTTTCAGGTGCTCCTGATTTAGTGTTTATGAACAAAAATTTTCCAGTGTTTTAAGTTCGCGCACATGTGACTTAACTGAAGTCACATTCGGGCATACTACCTGACGGGCGTTATACTTGATGATTTTATACACCGATCGGCGGTGACTGATGAAAATAAGCAGGTGTGCCCAGAGCAGCGATTCCAATTTTCGCAAATCGCCGCAATCGCTTTTTAAAATCGCTGACATCTGTTATCATGATGCCAAATATCGGTGATTTTCGCTGGCGATCGAATTTGCCGCGATTGGCGAATAAAATCGCCAGCTTTGTCACGGGCCTTAGTTAATGACTGATTTTTGTGTCAAGGTTCTCAGACATTCTTGTTGGTGCGCCTTACTACACCCACAAAAAAGATGAGGGACGAGTTTACATCTACTTAAACAATGGGCAGGTTGGTTTAAAAGCTTTAACCAGTTTGTACACCAAATCTATCTAGTAACTGACCAGTGTTAAACTAATGGTGATTTAACAAGTTTGCATTTTGATGAATTTTCAACCAATCAATGAATCAAAGTAATCCAGGAATGTATTGGTTTTGCTTCACTACTCGCTGTGATTGGTCTAAAAAAAGTTGGGCCAATTTGTAAACCAACCATATTCACACTAAAAGTAGTCACAACTTTGTCACTAAAATCTTTTTGTTCTTTCAAGATGAGTACCACACCCGTTTTCACGTTTTCTTTCGCTAGTTCTCTGGTTCATCTTGGTGATTACGTTGGCTTTAACTTTATTCCTGAAACAGTTTAAACATTTTCTTAAGGGTGCTCTTAATTTGCAAGATGATGTTCTTGAAGGAGATAAGGCGTATAATGCCCATTTTGGGGCAGCCATTGCAGCGGTGGGAGACCTGAACAAGGATGGATTTCAAGGTAAAATACTTTTTCACCTATCTGTTCTCGAGGAAATAGAGACAACTAAAGCGACCAGAATACCTCATTAAATAAGCAATATTCTTTAACCGCGGCACACGTAACCAGTGAGAAGATCTGATCACCAATTCTCCCTCAGAAGGAAACATCAATAACCAGCTGCCGTGTTTCCTTCTGAATAAGGTTAAGAGAATTGGATGGTATATCAATATAACATTGTCACCTGCTCGCTGGGTGGTGCACTGAATTAGAAAGAAATGCCCATTGGTTTATGGTGCAGGCATGATCAAGGATTACCTTACATTACTAAGATTGTTACTGTCTTTCCTTCTGACAGACGTCGCAGTAGGAGCCCCATTTGAAGGTGAAGATGGAAGTGGAGCAGTGTACATTTACCATGGTAGCAGCAGAGGAATTGAGACCCGCTACAGACAGGTATGATGCTGCGTTAACAGACAGGTGTTAACAGTTTATTCAATACTTGTTAGTTGAAGGAATAAAATGGTTTAATGAAAATCGGCGAGGTCATCTTGTTTCTCCATACGGAACAACCCTAAGCCGCTAAATAATTTATTTTTTACTTTTTTCTCCAAAATCACTTTTATAAATGTTGATCGTTACCACAACCGCACATTTGTACACGCACGCACGCACGCATAAACATGACAAGCCGAATGTTTCACTGGATAATTTGTTTTATTTAAATACTTGCTCAAATCTGTGTGCAGAAAACAGTTTCAATTTTTAGTTCACACGAGCACTTAAACACGAAGGCGCGTTATAAAAGGAGCCTTGGGTCCCACTGGACCATTTGTCAATCAACCGTCGTGTGATGTACAACTCTTTAGAGTCAACTCAGCTTGAACTACACCTACTCCAAAGCAGTGAACAGCGGGCGCATTCCTCAAAATTGTTTTATGTCTTCATCACAATACAAGAATTTTTGAGATTTGTATTTCCTCTCTCCAATGGAAACTGTCTTTATTTGTGGCGGTAAATTTGAGATCGAAGTAGGTGGTCCGCACGTTACCTCATGCCACCATGCTGGTGGAAGTAAACAATAGATATCTCATTAGCTCCTTTTGTTCCTCTACCAGCATTTAAATTTGACCCGCACACGTCAACGGTGAGTGATAAATGAGCCTAGGTCTTCCCAGGGGAAGACTTCCTTATTTAGCGCGCCTTCGTGTTTAAACTCACGAAAGCGTTACAGTGTCAATTGGTAGGTAAAGGGAAATCCAGAGTGCACCGAGAACCAATCAGATTGCAGGATTTGTCACCATGCAATGAGCCACTGATATTTCACCCAAAATTTATTTCTTTCATATACAATTAGGTAAAGGCATAACTGTAGATGGTGAAAAACTCTTATAACGAACAAAATAATCACTTTTTACAGAAAATTGTAGGATCAAAAATCAAACCTGGTATAAAGATGTTTGGAGTGTCCATCTCTGGTGGTGTTGACGTGGATCAAAATGAATATCCAGGTAACTTATGCTCTGTATATTTTCTCCAAATTGATAGCCTTTTAGCAGCGCCTCTTTATTAGTTCTTCGGCACAAGTGTTTCTTCGCGCGCGGGAAAATTTGAGGCCTGGTGTAACGCGAGCTCGCGAGATGTCTGGAAGGGATCTAGCACTGGCCCCGGCTGTTCGAAGGTTGGATAGCGCTATTCAATGGATACAACTCTATATGGTGGATAACGCTGCACGTTTTTCTATCACATATCTGCTGGTTAGCGATTTATTCGTTGGATAGCGTTACCGCCCTTTCTACAACTGAGTTATTAGTGCCAGACCTCCGGTAAACCTCTCTCCGGCTCGTCTCAAATGTTCCCTCGATCGGGTGTATTTTTTTTTTTTTAAAATTTATTTTTTTCACCTTATGTTGACATGTTTTAAGTGTGAACTTTGGAAAGTTGATTTTTCAAACTTAAAATAATCCATCATTGAATCTTAGAAGGAGGATGCAACAATCTCATTATACACATTCGCTCCGACGAAGGGCTAACGCTCGAAACGTCAGCTTTTGTAATCGTTACGGTGGCCAATTTACCACTTCAACTTTGTTGATATATCTAAATGATTTCGTTACTCCCACCGACGCAGCCCCAAACAGTTTCTTTCGAAACTATCAGCCTTTATTCATGATTATACAGAGGTCTATGATCTCCCCTAGTAGCAACGAGCATGCGGTTTTGAACATTTTGAATTCTTTTCATTACTAGATATTGCAGTTGGTGCATATAGATCAGAACAAGCTGTTATTGTGAGGTAAACAACTCAAACATTTATTTGTGTATCTGTCAACTTTTAATAGAAATAGTGATTTTCTGTTAGCTAAAACTTTAAATAATTATACGTCAATTTTGATATTGTTTCATGTACCACGAATATTCCAAAACAGTCTTCTCTGTTCGTCTCAGTCAATGAAGCAACGAAATCAACAAAATTATCTTCGCACCATTTTATGCTCTAAATCGTAGATTTTCCTTAGCCAATGAAACAGCTGTACTAAAACACAACAACCAATCAAATTTCAAGGCTTCTTTAAAAAAATCAATCAAATTGTAAGAAAATGAACTTTTGCAACTTTTTACAAACCAGCCCAATATACTGGAACGATAAAATATTTGTTAAGACCAAAATAAACTTGTATTGAGCGACTGAATTTTGCGATTTCAAAATAGATGCAATCAAGTGGTAATTAAACTTCGTGAACTTGTGATTTCAAGTCAAACTCTCGCTGCGCGCTCGTTTGATTTTGAAATCACGCGTATGATCTCAGACCAAATTGCGATCCACTCAGTTCAATTACCATTACAAGTAGAGTTTTTTATTATTATTATAAAATGTAGGACAAGAAGTATTGTGAACGTGGAAGGTGAAATTCGGCTGAGCAAGTCACAGATAACCTTGGAGAGCAACGACAGCGTGTGTGATGTGGATGGAGCCAAACATAAATGGTAAGAACGTGCAGGTATCTGGTTGGAAGACTGACCAACTGATTAAAATAATTTAGTGGCAGAAAGATTGATTGAGTGTTAGATAACGAAAGCAGTTTGAGGTTGAACGTTTTTACTGTTGCTTGCAGTTTGAACATGACAGTGGTTTTCCAGTACACAGACCAGGTTTCGTCGACTAACAGCCAAGGTAGGAATAAAAGAAGAAAGACGTACTTCAAGCGAAGTAACTCTTGCTATTAAATTCACAAAGTGCAATTTGCAATTAAGCGTCGAAGGTAATCCAGGAGTGCTTTGGTTTTGTTTTACTGCATTCTGTGATTGTTCCAGAAAACACACGCCGCTTTGTTAACCAATCAGATGCAAAACTAAAGCCAATCAGAACTTGGTCGTCCGTGTTTCCCACACTGTAGGTTTGGTTTGGTTTTACGACTCTCAATTGACGAGCGCTCTAAAGAAAATTTTCTTATATAACCTGAGTTGTTAATGTAAATTGGCCACCCCAAAAAAATTCCTAAAGTCGACGCCCTGACGAAGGACCAACGCTCGAAACGTCGGCTTCAGAAACTTTTTACGGTGGCCAGTTTTATTATCAACTACTGAATTTACCGGAATTCAGCAAAGGCTCTCGTTCCTAAATCTTTCCAATACAGCCCTTTCAGTTATTTTTCTACAGCATCGCCCGTTACCTTTCAGGTCTAGACAACCTACGGTATTCTGTGGAACTGGACAAAGGAAAGGAATCCGATGTATTGCGTCGTATGTTTTTTTGGAATCCGACTACGAAAAAGAAGACCTTTATCATGAGTGGGACCTACAATATTTCCGCTCAGAACCAAAAATATTCGCTGCCCACAGAAACAGTCTATCTGTTGGTACGGAGATTTTTTTTATGATTAAATAGTAAAACGTACTTGTCATGGAGGGAAGAAGCACATCTCCAAATGAGGCTAAAAACTTTGTAGATGAATTGCGAATATTTTGAAAGACATTGAACACCTATTGAGTTAAAATTGATTTGAAAAGTGAACGCAATGTTTTTCAAGAGTACTCGAGTTCAATCTGCAACATCTAGCTTTAGTTTTGCCCCTTCTATCCATTTTGGCTTATCTTTAATTCCTTTTGGTGCCTCTATGCGAGTGCCCATTCTTTTTTTTTTTTTTTGCTTTTACAATCTGTTAGTAAATGTTGCATTCGCCTACGGGTACCTCCCATTGCCAGTAAGGACAAAATTGGTCCAGACCCAGCTGGTTTTTTTCTTTTCTTTTGTTTTTCTTTTCTTTTGTTTTTCTTTTCGGCAGAATCAATTTTTTTTACAAACCCACATGGACTACTCGCAGATTACTTTCGAAATTTGAATACCGATTTAAAACAATTAAATACTTCTGACATTAATTAAAAAGGGGAAAGACGGTCTCTCCCTCCCCTATTGTCATAAGTAAAGGACGTCCGCTTTTCAGTTCTACAAACAGAGCAAGAGCCGATTTCATTATTCGGACGAACCTGAGAAACGGGAAGAGCCCCATAACTGGGCATCTTTTGCCAGTACCTTTGCAACACGTAAGATTAAACGAAGGAATGTATTTTGCCCCCTGCAGGATAAGAATGAAGTTGCAGACGTTGGCTCGCGGCTTACTTTCGACTTGAGTTTCTCCTTGCCAGCAACTGGCTGTAATGGTTTATGTCCAGTTCTTAATAGCTATTTGCTTGATAATTACAGAGGAACGGTAGGTATTACGGTCTTTGACATCAATAATTCAGAAAAATATAACAGCAATCTGGCCGCAAAAAATTATGCACTGTATCCCAAGAGCAAACAGGAAGACGATGAAAGAAAAGAAGTTTCGAGGCGGATCACCTCGAAATATTACGACAACACTAAACAACCGCAACAACATCAATCATCTGTAACTGTGTTATTCCTTTACTAATTACAAATAATAACCTAAACCGACCTTTGAAATTAGAGTACAAGCTATCTGGAATAATGATGGCAGCTAGCAGAGCTACGCCATAACGAGGGTCTCTGTGGGGTGATGGCTCATGCGGCTAACACTTGAAATTTTGGCCATTTTACGGCTAACGGTTGAAAGAAAATATTTTACGACTAACGGTTAGAATTTGTCGAATTTTACCCCCAACGGCTAATTTTTTGTTACCGTTTAACGGCTAAACGGTTAGCCCCGCTGCCACCCTTTATAACAAGTCCTTTTCTGTATTTTATTCTCTGTCTCTCTCTTTCACAGGTTGCTTTTAGAAAGAAGTGCAAGAATCAGTTAGCTTGTGTGCCAGATTTAGCGGTTGATGGTCACATTTTATATTCACCAAGGTAAGCCTGCATGTATTCCCGCGCATCTCACGAATGAAATATTCCAATGCTGTTTGTACTGTTTTCCCGCAATTGTTAGGAAATTGAAGTTTTCCCACACTTGTTGTTTGCGGCATTTGTTTACGGCTACATGTTTTTTCGTGCCTGTTGGAAATCACAGACGGTCCTTTCCCTTGCTCGATAGAGCCACGGAAAATATTTCCCTTCCACTCGTGGCATGTTGCTTATTTTCCAGCGATTTATACAAGCTACATGATATCCCAAAGTAGTCACAACACGTCGTTCCTTCCCGATTCAAATAAGAAAGTTCTCTCATACGGTGGAACCTCTATATAACGAAGATTTAACGAACCTCCTCTATATAACGAAGTCCTCGGTATAACGAACGATACTTCAGCTTCAGCCCGGGTAAAGTTACAGTAAAATGTATGCCACCAAACCTCGATATAACGAACCAATTTCCCCAGTCCCTCAGTACCTAGTTAAACCGAGGTTCCACTGTAAAATGAAATTTGTCAAAAAATGATCTTGTAGACTTAAGATTGCTAGACTTTCTTGTTGACCAAACGATCTTAATCACACCGTGTACGTTGATTTGTTCCTGTCATAGTACCCTGGATCTAAAAGAAGTTCGAATCGGAGTTGTCAGAGAATTCACTGTTATGCTGACAGTCACGAACAAAGTTGACGATTCTGCGTATTACTCCACTATCACAATGACACTTCCTGCTGATCTGGACTACATCGGACCTACGCAGGTTATAGAATAATATTCAATTGAGTGTCGAAAATAAGCCGGGACTGCTCTGGTTTTGTTTTACTTCGCTCTCTGATTGGTCCAGACAAAAAACCTCATGCCATGCCAGGACTGCTCTGGTTTTGTTTTAATTCGCTCTCTGATTGGTCCATACAAAAAAACCTCGCGCCATGCCGGGGATGCTCTGGTTTTGTTTTACTTCACTCTTTGATTGGTCCACACAAAAAACCTCGCGCCAATCAGCTTCAAAACCTAGACCAATCGCGCTTTGACCACCCGCGTTTTCCCGCGCTTTGAGCAGTTTGCTTGTTTTTACTTCGAGTTCTTATTTCCTCCTTTTCGCATTTCCTTTTTAATTTACACGATTCGTTTTTGCGCTTTAGTTCATAGAATGTGAGAGAGATGACCCATACAATGGAACCGTGGATGTGACTTGTAACGTTGGCAATCCACTCCTCGGTAAAGTCACGGTAAGTTCGTTGTTGTTAATTCCGCCACACACGTTCGGCACTCACCTGAAAAGGAACCATGTCCTTAGCATATTTAGTACCTGCCTAGCATGCATACGATTTTAATGGGCGTTAGAGATTTAGACTCGCACACTGACGAGAATTCGTGCGCACAGAGAGCCCAAGGGAGTCTCTTTCTCGCGCGTCTGACCTCTCGCGCGTGTGTGTCTTGTGCTCTTGCCAAACGCTTACATATGTTTAATGAAACCTAGCAAAAAATAAGTGGTCAATCAGAGGTGAAGTGTATCTCCCACAGATTTAGTTTGACTCAGTGCTGGTGGTAGAAGGACACTAACGCTAGTAAAGTGCACTTCCTGTAAAGCTTACCGTGACTTAATTCGGGTAATTTGAGAGTTTGAAAGTCTAAAATATTAAATTAAAAAGTGGCTCTGTTCGCCAAAAATCAGCAGTTGATCTAAGAAGTGGTAGAAGTCTAGCCTATGGGGGATTTATCAAATGCGATCCTATCGCTTTGAGCCGGAAGAGGTTGAGTGAAGAGGATATATTTCTTCCCGCTCCACGCTCATTCTCACGCCTCTAGTTCAGTTCGCGCTTCCTCGCCCACTGTGTTATAAAAATACACGGCTGTGGACAATCTGCTTTTTTCTCTTCTTGTAGAGAAAATTTGGAATCAAGTTTGCACCAGGTTCTGTGAAAGAAAACTTCAGGATTGAAGTCATAGCATCAAGGTAGCTACTCATTTTACATCCTGGTAAAGTCTTTCCAGGTCGCGTGATTTATTCTAAATCTCATCTTGTTTCTGTTGCTTTTCTGCAGCCAAGATCAAGATGCAAACGACAAGGACAATGAGAAAGCGTTTATCGTTCCCGTGACGTTTGAAGCGGATTTGGAAGTAAAGGGGTATGTGGGGGCAGCACTGAACGTTAGAAAAAAACAATCGGCGCGTTACCTACAATGATGGAAAAATTCGTAGCGCGCTCTCATTTGTCTCTCTCCCCCCGACGGATTTAATGTTGCCTGTTGCTGGTGTTAGCGTTCATAAAATGGCCACTATCAAGCAACTTTCTTTTGAGAGAGAAGGGGGGGCTTTCAAGTAGCTTATTGGACATGAAGTTTACATTATTTCTGTTTATTATTTTGAGTGGATGGTTGTTGACCACCTACTACTAAGGGGAGATGTGCCGGGTACTTTTGCCACTCGTAGGAAAAAACCAAGAACACCTAAACCTTCATATCGAAAGGATCCATTTACATTTACATTTACATCTTTACATCTGTATAGCGCAGACTTCTATGTGGATTTATTAAAAACTAGATCATTGGATAATGCAATTAAAGAATTTTTATTGGCTCAGCCATTATGGTATATCAGCCAATATACCATAATCTACAAATGTGGTAAGCGTACGTGTCAGCTTAAAATTAAACGGGAGCTAAAAATTTAATAAGATTTAATAATTTAATTTAACGTTTTTAATAAAACAATTATTCCAC